AATACCACGGTCATTATTTCGTACTCAACTGTGGCGTAATTCAACACCTACTTACTACTTCTGGAACATGCATTTAATTACTTGTGTTGCATAAACTTTATAATCTACTAGATAGGTACTGTAGTGTAGATATACGAAGTAGGTGCGCATGCGCATACGGCACGTGGTGCGCATCGCGCAGTCCGAGCGCGGCGTGGCGCGGCCCCGCTACACGTTAGCGTGTGTGGGTGACTGAACTACGAACATAACATACGTACGTATGTATAAACACTGCACACACATGCTCGAAGTCAGTTCACTTTCCTGTTTCGCCAGTTTTGAAGCAACACTTGCGCTGCGAGCCCCACGCCGAGACTCCACGATGATGCAACATCTTGACTTATTAGAAGTTAAAATACTATACTTTATATTATCTTCTGATTATGATATGCACAATACCAGATGAGTGATCCTGTTAGCATCACAATGTAATAAAAGTGACTACGTTGCGAGCAAAACATATAAAAACAATATTATGGTTCGCATACGTATACATTTTTTATACAAACATATTATGTAAATAGCAAATCATGTTCCATCAATAGATCGACATCTGCTTACAAAATGCGCCACTGCGCGGCAATTCTTTGGCCATTCACAGAAGGTATAGTCACAAGTATCTATGAAGGTGGATAGGCGATGTCGTATGTCTGGATTTCAACATCTTTTTGTCATATGTCGGAATACTGAAACGCTACTCAATTTTAAACTGTCAAACACCAAGCGGTCACCGGTGACCGCGACCCATTGTTCTTTAATTGTGTCTATAAAACCGGTACTCGACGAGTTAAGTCGTGCTTAAGTTCTATCTCTACAAATTCTTTGTAAAATGACAGAGATGGCACGATATTTGAGCACGACTTTAAATTAAGTAACGTTTCAGTATTCCGGCAATAGGTAGTTAGGGTTTGGGCAAGTTAGGAATAATAATCTTCCATATTTATTCGTAAATAGTTACTAGTGTTGGATAGAGAGCTGATAAGTTTTCAATAAACGCCATGAGAACCAGGATTACACTTAGATGTAATAGCTACCTAGGTGATCATCGAAATATCATGCAATGGGCATCGGAGAATGTGACGCAAGAAGAGCTGAAGTTATACAAGAACTCTCATTTGTATTTTAGGGGTTGCTCAAATACCGTGATGTTTGTGAGAGTTGAAGGTTGGAGGAAATAATCGAAGTATCTGTACAATGCTGTGTTTAACAAAATAACAACAGTTATCATAGCGGATGGCTTGGCGGCATTTACCGGTGTTCGGGCGCGTGTAACGACATATCGTGATTTCTGTATCTACTATCTAGGTTTAGTACTAAAGCTGATTATCAACCTTAAGTGCTGGTATCTTGTGCTAAATATAGCGCTTGGGTATGTTCAAAACAATAGAAGTTCAAAGAGTACCTACTTATAATAGTAGAGGAGTTCCACCTGTATTCACTGGAGCCCTATATAATTTCTCATTAGATTAAAAAGTAAAGTAGAATACTACTCCTCTATATGTATGTACTTATTTAGGAAATACCTCTAGATACCTATGTTGTATTGTATAGACAAGGAGCCAGTTGCATTGAAAAGTTAATGGTCAGATCTCACATTGTGGAAAGTAAGGTCAGGCACCGGGAAAACTACTTTATGGTGCTTTCAGACGAGATTCTGATTACTGTGTTTACGTATGTTTGCTTATAGTACATAGAATACATACAGACATACATCGGATTTGTTTTTAAATTATACGTTCCCAATCAGCAGTATACACAGCGTCTTATGACTTATGACGTAACCCCTCATTTAATCGCTCCGCTGATGACTTACAAAAATATGAACTTAATGTACTTAATGGAAGCATCTAGAAAGAGTAAGTAAACGTGGCAGCACTGACAAAAAACAAGAATCATTGTTACGCAGCAAACTACGGCTAGGTACCATCATCAAATCTAATTACTCTGTTATCTGCAATCATGCGACACGTTAAGACTTGTCTATAAACATGACTCGTCATTGTATTGGCTTGGCAACTAGATGGAGACCAAACAAGCATACAGCAGTGATGGTGTCTACTCTTAGCGCACCGTAGACTGGAGCACTAAGACAGCTCTTCAAGCAAGTCCTGGCAAATCTTGCAGAACACGTATCCGTCTCAACTAAGAATAAGTAAGGCTGGTCGATGTGGTGTTAACCAATGAACCGGATCAGATCAGCTTCGTGGCAAAGTTCAAAGTCCAAGCGGACGGTTGTGATTGTGACCTTGTTTGCTGTTATTAAGCACTATCATGATGAGACTGCAAGTTTCCTTGGTACCGGTTTTTTATCAGACTCAATAAATCATTTAAAAACATTAGAATACACTACACTATTGACTGTACTATTATCGTGACCCAAACAACTGAGTAAAATCATAATAATGATGACGAGGTTCATTCTTGTTGCTATAATGCCACAAAAACATTATTCCAGATTTATTTTTGCAAGTCAATAAATATACCTAATCAAATGTTTGTCAAGTCATCTGATATTATCGGTAACTTCCAACGGACGATTTATTATTTGTACCATAATAAGTAACGACAACCATACCTATTGGTGATTGTCCATTGCCTAAAAGCTAAATTCTAACATCAAGGAATTCCCATAATGTCCTCAGTGAGAGACTGGAACTTAAAAGATTCCGATCGGTTCCGATCTCTAATGAGATTACTGCACCGTGGTCTCGTGGCCCATTGTCTCTCAGTCGGTTTTTATTTTATAACATCTTTTTTTTGAGCGTGTTAAATCATCAAATGACTGTTTCCCGCCTTGGGCGAAGCAAGAGAAAATGTCAGACTTTTACTGACTGAAAACCACCCTTTTGATACTTCTGCTTTAAGACACACAAGCGGTATTTTGTATGTATAACAATAAATGTAAAACAGTGTTCCCTCTTCTTACTCGTTACGTGTACCATGAAATACTTCAAATAGGGGCCGAGGTGATTGCCAGAGGAACAGTTCTAAATATAATTTACACTATATGGACCCCGGCCGTAAACCAAAATTAATACAGATGGTCTTCCAATGGCTTCAACACAAACATAAAAGTCAAAAATCAAAATCATTTATTTTAATTAGATTAGGGTGGCTCTTTTGGACGTCTAACAAAAATACTTGAAGGTTTCAGTCTATCGGTCGGCCTTCTAGTGAAGCTATTTGCTCATTCCTTATAAATGGGTTCCATTGTTGAGACTAGTCAAAGTCAAAGTCAAAGCATTTATTTCAATTAAACCATAGTTTGGTGCTTTTGAAACGTCAACAAATACAAAATAAATAATAGTCTGTCAGTCAGTCCGTCAGTGAAACTAGGTGAAGCTAGGTGCTCATTCCAAAAAGTAGATTCGAATGGAGAAGAACGAGCAAGAAACTCCATTCGTTACTCTTTTAAAAAAAAGTATGTTCTACAATGTCTCTGATACATATCGTACATATATAACTAGTAAAATATTGTTGACGTTTTCAGTTTTAGAAAATTCTCAGAAATCAGCAGCAAAGCTCTTTGTTTAACCTACTCCTCTCCTTGTAACTTCCCCATCTTCTTTTTTCTTGGGTTACCTCACACTTGTAATTTCCCCCATGTCATGTGACTTGTAATTCGTAAATGTATGTACAAAAAGCAATAATTTACCATTTTCATCAACAGCCGGTGACAACACACTACTAGTCTATAGACCTCTTTTTTAAAAGTGGGGTTTGCTGTAGTCTTGCCGTTTGATAGGATGTTTTGAGATCGTAATTCAAAAAGTTTAGGTTTCTCAAAGAATCCGATAGTGTTCACTAATACTTACTTATTATATCTGTCATTTTATTGTTCTCTATTCAATTGTCGTTTTGTATTTAAACTTTATTAGCTACAACCTTGTATCATATGCTTGTTACCCAAGTTTTTTGCTTATCTTGTGTCATTAAATATAGATATATTATTTGTTTTTGTTTGAACCGAGGTCACCTCTTAAACATGTTTTAATACGAACTTGTTTGTAAGTGCTTAGTTATTTACACCTGATGTACCTACTACACGCTACACGCAAACGTGTAACATCGCACTGCAAAAATATAAAACTAGGAAATAGAGCACACAAGTAAAACTGCGTACGTACTATGATAAATGTACCTACTACTGAAATAAGAAGGTTTATTGTTTATTTAAATATAATATCAAATTATATTTAAGCTAAACTCCTCGACGCTAAAATTCCAACCAATTGTGTCAATTAATTCTAAATATTGGACACCAATATTAAGAATTAATGTACACATGAACAAATCTAGAGTGATGTTATCTTGAATATGATATAATAGTTTGATTGAGGAACTAATTGAACAACATTCGGCTAGCGTGTGACCTTCATTCGTATCTGATAGTCTCCCGCTCCGCGCCGCGCCGGCGCTCCACCGGCCAGGCGGCCACGGTCGCGGGCGACGTGCGTGCTACTCTAATGTTGACGACGCGACCCCACGCTCTCGAACCGATTATGTCATACCTTGTTATACAAGCCAAAACAGTCAACAAGTTTTGTTCAATTTCAGTAAAAAACTGACAATAATAGATGTAATACCCGTCTTCAAACATAGATCGATTAACGCTTGGCATTCGGGCTTGCTGCATAAATACTACAAAATATATAAATATTCATCATAAATCACAGTTGTAGTGCGATGCATAGACCTGATTTAGAATCTGTTTACTGTTTGAGTCTGTTTGCACACAACGCTAGTAATCACAACTCTAGAAGTGCTAAGGAGAAAATAACACAGTAAACAATATTCAGAATTATACAAATTTAATTAAATATCACAATATACAAATTATGCATAAAACCTTTGCAACATAATAAATATATCTATCAACAGTCTGTATTGGTCGGTCGTGTACACGCACTTGCACTGAGTCCAGTCACCAGTGGAGACGCGACGCGAGGCGGTGCCGGCGGCTACCCGAACAGGTAGCTGTACAGCAAGGTCACTACGATACCCAGCAACACAGGGAACTTCCAGGAGCTCGTGAAGCTGCTCTCATTCTCCTGCTTGTTGTCCTCCCATGATATCTGCCGCTTCTGCGAGTGCACGCGCTCTGATTCCACAATCTCGCCGACCTTGTACTTCAGCATGAGGTCCTTGGCGTCCAGGCTGTGGCCCACATCGTCGAAGTCTTCCGACGCGTCCTTGCCAGCGACGTTCTGCAGCACCTCGTGTCCACCGGGATGCTCGTCTAGGAACTTGGTAACATCGTATACTACGTTGTCGATTATAAATACAGTGTCGTTTTTGTTTTCTGATTTCCACTTGGAGATCTCCTCCCGAGTGAACTGCTTGGAGGTCATGTTTGCGGCGCGCGCGGCTTGCTCGGAGCGGACCGATGAACTAACGGCTACACAACGAGCCCACACTCGCGAGCGCGACGTGCACGCCGCCGCCTCACTCCCCGTACCGCCGCGCCTTCCTTCGCATGATAAGCGGTTATCATCACAATTAGAATCATCTCACTGTGACACAGCGATCCTCTCTAATCAATAATTTAAGTTGTATTCTTCGTTTTAAACTAAGGATTCGATTCGCATCCATTCATTTTAGGCCCAGTCGTTGTTCTGTTATAGGAACAGTACATAACTGTTACACAACGACTGCGGGTTACTTCATTCATAACACTTTCGTTTGCACCGACGGCCTTCGTGGTAACAGGTTAAGTCAACCTAGATTCCTAGAGTACAGAATTATGAATCGTCTTTCTTTGTGACTGATTGGACAGTAGACCCTAGCCTAAATACTTTCCAAATAAATTGAACTAAGTAGTTATCTAGCAAGCAAATGCTGGTTTTTTATTTGATTTTTTTTTGTTTTTTTTATAATTCCTTTTAATTCAATACTACAATCACAAATACCTCTAGAAACATCTGTCTTTGAATAAAATGGATTGTATAGCATATATGCATTTGCAGCCCCAAAAGAAATAATGAAATAAGTAACTTTACAGGGTATTAACTCGTCGAGTACCGGTTTTATAGACACAATTAAAGAACAATAGGTCGCGGTCACCGGTGACCGCTTGGTGTTTGACAGTTTAAAAATAATGTACTACAATTTTATTGTTGTGCTAAGTTTATGCCCAGAATGTTCCAAATATTCTAAACCATTTATGACGGTAAGTATTTTTTAGATTGTACCATTTTTTAGATTTAGGTTCTACAGATTTGTCCCAGAATGTTCCACGTATGTCCTAAAACAGGTCATATCTTTAATCATCAAGAAAATACGCAGTAGCTATGGCCACTCTTCATAGATACTTGTGCTTTATATGTAGAGGTGGCCCATACTTTAGTAGTAAGTTAACTATTATTTGTGTTGATAGGAGAATTATGAATAATGACAAACAATCTACTTTGTATTTACAATTTGAATTTCCTTATTTCTCGCATTACCTCGAGACGCGACATTGTGAATATTAACATTTTATTTCCGGGTAAATAATTAAAAATGCGTAGTGAGAAAGAGAATCAAAAATCGCCCGTATCATACAGCGAGTTTGTCAAATCAAGTTAACTTGGTATATTAAAAGTCCCTGTTCCGTGCCACAAATTGTTGTTCCGGGTCTGGGTGTCATGTGTATGTGAGCTTGTATGTTTGTAAACGTACAAACGACACAGGAGAAAATCCTAGCGTGGAGCAACGTTTTTTAAAAAAATTATAATAATTTGGGACATTTTCGGAAAACTGAAAATCACCAATGATGTTTCAACCGATCCCGGGAAATTTAACCCGAAATCTTACGACTACTCAATCAATGAGGCAGTTTATTCCATGTCTATTGCCAAGTTGCCAACTTACCATATGTTTGTGACCAGTGTGACGTTTAGTCTATGAGCAAGGCGAATAAGGGCCACGGTCTGACGTAGCACGTGGCCAGTGAAAGTAGTCGAAACTCGAAAGTGACCACAAACCTGACCATAGACCAGTATAAACTGAGCTGGACACAGCCAACATGAGTATACCACACTCGGTTCATCAGTATATATACACAAGTACCTCTGTAGCTGTATTAAGTATTGTCGGATGGCGCGATGGGTCGCGGGTAGTCGCAGCTGCAGTAAAACTACTCGTACCTACATACGTTATATGCTCACGAGTAGAAAGCCTACTTTTAATAGTCAATGAAATACATACGTCCTAGGAAAGTGAAATTTGTAAATTGATTTAAACTCAAACACCGAGCGGTCACCGGTGACCGCAACTTATTGTTCTTTAATTGTGTCTATAATGACGGTAATCAACGAGTAAAAAAAAAATTCTTGTGGCATGATATAAAAAGCCAAAGTGAAGCCAAAAATATGGATTATAGAAATTTTGTCTGTTTGTCTATTTGTATGCCCGTTGCCCAGGATAAACTCAAAAAGTTCTACATGGGTCTATTACAAATTTTGTATGAATATTACTAATCAGTCTGGTCAACATATAGGCTACATATTATCGCGCTACCACCTACGGGGGGGGGCTGCGGAGGGCTTAACAGGTTGCCGAGGCTCCAGTTCGAAGTGCAGGAGTAGGAACGGGGTGGTTTTTAGTCAGTAAGAGTCTGACACTCCCTCTCGCCTCACCCAGGCGGGACAAGTCATTGGATGATTTACCAGCCTTAAAAAAATCACCTATATTGGAGGAGCTGTGAATCATTATTCCACACTAACGCAATCGCGGGCACAGCTAGTAAATACTACACTAATTACCTAGTGACATATTACATTTTAATCGAACATTCAATAACAGTGTTCCGTTCCCCACTTAAAAGTATCAGGCAAAATAATTAACATTCAATAGCTACCTGCATAAAATAAAAAAATGTCTTATAATTTTTTTAAATCACATACCTCGTCTTATGTAGAAGATGACAATGGTCATATCAGTCACATCCAACAAAAATACTTTTCTTCATGACTGCCATGAACATGGACTGTTTTCTTTTTTACAGTTTTTTTCAAGAATAGATCAATGTTTGATTACTTACAATTAACAAATACCTAATTATTGTGAGTTATTAATTAATTTGAATAGCACGATCCAATTGCGTTTTCCGTAATAAATTTGCCGCTTGTGCCATAAAAAATAATGTAGAAAAGAAAAAAGTTGTGTTCGTTATTTAAAAATGTTTGGGTAATATATTTAACAGATTGCATAGATCGTAGTACAAACAATAGATAATGATGGTTAATTAGATATTTCACAATATCTAATAAGGTTGTTTAGCTCCAGGCTGCATTATTTATTGTCTTTAAGGTTATTTTATATTACTTTTTCGATCTCTTTGACTGGATTTTGGATATTAAGTACATTATTCTCGCACAATCGAAACAATAAAACTGTGTGACTGGAGAATTATATTGTGAACCTGATTGGAAAAGAGTAACCTATGGAGTTTCTTGCTCGTTCTTCTCCATAGGAACCTAAACCTTGGAATGAGCTTCACTTTAAATTTATATTGTTGACGTTCAAAAGTGCCTTCCTGGTCTGATTGAAATAAACTTTGACTTTGTTTCTGTTTAACTAACTGTAACTGGGTGAAGTAGCTATGATTTTATAGATTTCAGACCAATGAATAAATATTCTTTTCAATAAATTCTACTGATAACGATAAAATAAACTGTTTGAAATCTATCTCAATACTCTTAAATTTCTGTAAATACGGTACTTATAAATAAGTTTCTTCAGATACCCGAAAATAAAAAAAAAACATGTCAATTAATTATTATGTTGTTGGCTTACTCACGTAACTTTATATGAATATAAAAGCAGTGTTATCACACAATTTCTCCATGCAAACGTAGTATTTAATACAACATGTTTGACCAGGAGCTCGAGTAAGTTCCAAGCCATGCTAGAGAGTAGAGGATCATATTCATGAGCAGCATTCCGTGACACACGACGTGGCGATTGTCGCGCCGCTTTTTTCATCTCATGAATATGAGCCTCTAGTATGGCTTGAAACTAGTCGAGTTCCTCGGCAAACAGTTACGTGAATAAGCCGAAAACACTAATATTAATTTAGTATGTCTCACGAAAGTCGTCATACAAACATGTCAATTCGTTCGTAATCATTTAAATATTTCAGATGGTATGGACCTATCACATCTCACTATTCGAATTTGCTAGTCACAATCAACATCAGAGGCTAGATGATGCTAACTAAACCTAGTACTTATCCATATCCAGTATAACGAATATTTTTGGAAGTGGGCAGTGGGTACCCATTATACAAACCTAAATAACACTGTCATCGCATAAGTAGGTACTTGAAGCACAAACGTAGTACGGTACCTACCTATAGTTTTGGAACACTCGTCGTTGAATACATTTAAATATAGTATTGTATCATATTTAAATAAATTACCTACATGCGTAATTAAAGTGAGCCGTAATGGAAGGTAGCGGTGGAAGCAATACACTGGACTGGCTACCCGCCGCCCGCTGGCCGCTGCACGTGCGAAAAGCAGCTCACCTTGAGGACAGCCGCGAGTGGCGGGCGGCCGGCGGCGGCCGGACCAGCCACGGCGCGCTAACACAAGCCGCTGATCACAATATTATTTTCACGTTTTGCTCTATTCTGATACTTACACTGATTACTGAATAAAACACTAAGGTTGGGCGCCTATGTTACCAAACGAAGCACCGTGTAATATCAAGTAAAAGAGGCGAGTTGGTTTGTGTTCGGTTGAGAAGTAATAGAACAAATAATATTGCAAGATTTTTGTATTTTATTAAAACACAACCTTTATTCCATAACCTTATCAAATAAAAACGTACATAGTATTCATCTTGATTTCATCACCAATCGAGGACTCCGAATAAGCATGTAACTGCATTCGTGTTCATATTAGGAAAGCATTCGAGTTGACTTATTGGTCGCTGACTTGCCACGAGTACCGACCGGAAGCTCTGCTTCACAAACTGCTTTTGCACTTTTCTAGTCCCATATTTAGCACACATAACCACCTTAACCTTGCCCCTACAGTTAATGTCCACACACTGGTAAGGTGGATTGGTAAAGCACTGCAGCAAAGAGTCGTATGACCTAAGCCGTCGGAAAGAGGTAGGTGTAGACGAGCGTAGCTAAACCGGCAAGCACCAATGGCGGGCCCCAGACATTCAGCAGCGAAGTCAGCGAGAACGGCTCAGCGGGTGGCGGTTCTTGCACCACACGCTTCACCTCTGGCCATCGCTCCTCGTCGACAACTTCTCCAATGACAAACTTCTCGCGCCACTCCATTGCAATATCACTATGGCCCACGTCCGCGAAACATTGAGATGCATCCTTGCCGGCATTGTTGAGCAGTACATCCACGCCGCCTGGGTGGTCTTCCATGAACTCCGTCACGTTGTACACCACGTTGTCTATGATGATAGCGGCCTCCTCACGGTGGTTCCGCGCCTCAATTTCTTTGCGTGTAAACTTAACGGGAGCCATTTTGCACGCGGGCACCTCACTCGGCGGCTAGCTGGAAACTGTCAGGCTACGACGGGGCACGGGGTGTAGGGTCGTGTGGTCGTGTTCGCGTCCTTCACTCTGCAGCTGACCGAGTAACACAGATAGCGCAGGAGTCTTGTCGGGACCGGCCGAGCGCTCACTGACCCGCGCACCACTTGTTCGGCTATTGTCGTTGCCTGACATATCGTACCACCTTCCGTATGCTAATTTATTCCACTAGCTACCTCACAATCGATTTATTACATGCGCGTTTTATTTTTGTACTTATAAGAAAGTAAAATAAGCAAACAATTGTAAAATTGGCAATTCTTTATCTTAAACTTAAAAATAAAAAACCTGGTTTGCTGGACACGGAGGGTTAAGACCTATGTTAAGTTAGCTATATTTTTCATAATAATATTATACTATATTCCTAACATCACGCTTGTTCTTTGTCGAGAGGTCCAATAGAGGAGTACAATCGATAGTACGTTGATGATATGCAGACTTTTCATCAGTTGTTTGAGTTCCACGAACGTTGAATATCAAAGTCAAAGCATTTATTTCAGTTCAACCATAATTTGGTACTTTTGAAACGTCAACACATAGAAAATAAATAACAGTCTGTCAGTCTGTCCGTCAGTGAAGTTATTAGCTAGATAGCTAGGTGCCCGTTCGAAAATAGTATAATCGAATGGAGAAGAACGAGCAAAAAACTTCATTCCTTCCTATTTAAAAAAAAAGTTTTACAATCTCTCTGATACAATATCCAATATTGTACGTTCAGGTGAGAACAATGCAAATACACGCTCGACGTATTGTACTTACAAATTACAAAACTTACTTAAATAAAAAATCCAACAAAAAAATATCTTATAGTCTAACATGGTGCTCACACATGCATACTGGCAATCCATAAAAATAGTACCTACTTCTTTATAAGAAAAACGAAACTCATTGTTTCAATAAAGAAAGAATTGCTCGATGCCATAAGGAAACTAGATTGTCTACATTAGAATCAAAGTATTAAATTATCTCCTATTACTAATTTAATACTACATATAACTAACTATAACTACTTTCAAATGAAATTAAGTACAATACTGTGATACTGACACTGTAAATGAACAAAATAAAAGATACCAATTTAGACAAGTATAATCAGGTTCTCGACTTGAAACACGTTTTGTTTGTAGACATATTTTTGTAAACAGGTACGACCACTATTCAAATCAAATTAACTGACTTCAAATGAAATTCTAAGTGGTAGGAACTACATAATAAATAATTAGTTGGAACCGGACCACGAATACTTAAAATTTTTGCTATTATGCTATCCTGACAGACTACGCTGGTGCCCGCTGGAATGAAATCTATATATATAAAAGAAAGTCGTGTTAGTTACACTATTTATAACTCAAGAATGGCTAAATCGATTTGGATGAAAATTGGTGGGAAGGTAGCTTAGAACCAGGAGACGGACATAGGATACTTTTTACCAAATTCTTTTTTTTTTACTTTTTACCGAAAATCAAGAACGGGAACGGGAAATATCGGGATTGCGCGTACGAAGTCGCGGGCAGAAGCTAGTGATACATATTTTCATATGCTACAAATGTGAAGCTTAAGTTTTTGCCGCGTAATCTAATTACTGGCATAAAAAATGTATAAACTGGCAAATCCGACGGGTCTTCATCATGGCTCATCACCAGGTGAGATCGTGATCGCACGCCACGCCGTGGGGGCTTACTCTTGAATCCAATTCCGATCGAGCGACATTGGTATTGTGAAATTTCGTACTCTTGAGTTGTAACACTAGAGCCCATTGCATCCGTATTGCGTGGATATTGAATGAATTCAATGGTATTGAGTTTAGCTACAAATTCCGTACTCTGAATGCTATTTCAACAGCTAAAGTAGGGGTTGTATAGGTTTGACATCGAATAATTATTGAGATTTTATTGGATTGAAATTGCATTGACATTGAGAGTGGTTACAAGAGTAAGCACCCTGGGGGTTTATTCTTGAATCCAATTCCGATCGAGCGACATTTTTATTGTGAAATTTCGTTGAGTTGTAACACTAGAGCCCATTGCATCCGCATTGCGTGGATATTGAATGAATTCAATGGTATTGAGTTTAGCTACAAATTCCGTGCTCTGAATGCTATTTTAACAGCTACGATTGTGGTTGTATAATATTAACATTGAATCATTATTGAAATTTTCTGGATTGAAATTGCATTGACATTGAGATTGGTTTCAAGAGTAAGCGCCCAGAACGGCGGAAATTATTAACCGACCTCGATCTTCTGTCTTCGATTTTCATCTAACTAAGGATTACAATACATTTTTGACAATACTTGTATAGAAATGGAGTTATGTCAAAAACCTAGATCGATCGCTTTTTATCAATCGTAATAAAGCATAAGTTAACAGGCCAAGTATCCAAGTTCAGGGTGAAACATGTATCTGACCAATCTGTCAGCAGATTTAAATGGGTAGATTGAAAAAATGCGGTAGCACTTTTAACCTTTTTATCCTCATATTACCACCGACTCCTTTTTTTACTTATTATAATCATGAGTCATGACCAATCATTCAAGTCCTACCGCCAAAGAGTATATTAATAAGTATCCGCCACCAGTAAGTTAAGTGACATCCTTGGTTAAGTGTTGCTATAAGAAAATGATTTTGAACATTTTGGTACAATACTACAAGGAGGTAATAAATGTTTTAGTAAACATAGTTCATTGAATTAAAGTTAAATAGATTTTTAAGATTATTTTTCACTATCTTGTGAGTCGCCTATAAACTATAGAGCCAAAATAATTATTCTTTATTTTTCAGTGGACCACAGTATACCACATTAGTAGTTATGACGTTTGGTGACTTTATTGCAGAAATAGAATATGTTGCAAGCGTCCATATGCCACGGTAACCACTTACCATCAGATGACCCGTGTGCTTTTCTTGCCACCGACGTGGTATAAAAAAAGTACATTTTTGTAATTTGACATTAACAGTAACCATTTTTTTTTTTTGTCTTTGGCAACCGAGTCTCCAATACGATGTTGTCGACTATACTGCCAGTGTCGAGTGGTGACGGCAGTTAATGCACCGTCGAACTTTAACTTTCTGGTAGTTGTTAGTAACGTTATATTTTAATACAATTTTCTTTAATAAATTTGGACAAGCAATTAATTAATTTGGGAGAAAAATTTGTTAGGAGGGAGTGGAAGTTGATTGGAAGAGGGATTTGGATTTTGGGAAGGTTTCCATATAAATCGAAGGATTGGGAATTTAGAGGGCAAGAGAAAAATATGTGGTCTAGGGTTCCCTCATCAAGACCACATTCGCACAGCGAGCTGTCACGTACACGGATCTTGGCAAGGAATACCGGACTAGTACAGTGGCCGAGTCTGAGTCTGCACAAGGACGAAATAGTATGTCTGGGAAGCTTCTTATACTTGGAAAACCAAGGTTTCCGCCGGATGTCGGGCTGGATACTTGCAAAGTAAGCTCCTTTACGCTTGGAGGAGTCCACCCACACTGCAGCCCACGAGTCGAAAAGCTTGAGTTTGGTATCCGCGCGTATGTCATACCCATACACAATGTAGTGGTGACGTTCAACATTATTCACATTAACCATAAATTAGACCAACAAAAAGTTGTCCTTGTCACGTAAGAAAAAAACAAACTTGACATTTGTATTTGTCATTGTCATATTTGACAGTTCGACTTCGACGCCGTGTATATTTATTTATTTTCCTAAAAACTGTGTTTAAAAAGTTATTTAAATAATATTTCAAGTTAAAAAATAAAGTTGCAACTAATGCTTAACGAATAAAAAATGTGTAATCTCATAATTAGTAGCTGAAACTTAATAAGAGTTGAACGAATGCCGTAAATATAATAATGTTTAATTAGGTTATATTTAGTTAAGAATCGTGGAAAAAGTAAATATAAATATACCAAAATGAAACTTGTAAGTAATTTTAAAGTAATTTCAGTGTACAAAGTGATGATTTAAATAGTATGACGGCTTTTAATTAAATTGTTTCATTTTAGTACTGCCTAAGCAACGATGCGGCCAAGCCGTGTTTTGTCCTGTCGTTTAAAGAATTACTCATCATGCTGGACTGCGGTCTGTCGGCGCACTCGGTCCTCAACTTCCTACCGCTACCACCAGTACCGAGTACACGACTCGCTTCTCTGCCCAACTACACACCACCACATCTCAATGATCCTCTCCTTGAAGGGGTTTGTAATTGTTTTTTTATTCCTCAAGAACAATTTCTTAACATCCAATATTATGACTACTAAGATCAAAATGTACTTACCACAATATAAACAATGTGATCAAATATTAATAATAATTTTATATCAGGTATACTATGGAAACTAGATGCTTCCATTCATTGCATTCTTTGAATGAGAAAGTTACATATAAGCATAAAGCTGATAAGCTTTATGCGTAACTTTAGATTGTAATCATCAATGTTTAACAATAAAAGAATGATGATTGCAAATAAAAAAATTTTGGAATATTGTGTATCAGATTTCGCAATATCGTTTAAAAATGAATTACTATAATTTGTAACTGTACAATTTAGAATTTAATATTTTACATCATTATTTTGTTCTTTCAAATTAAATTCAGGTAATACTTTAGAAAAAGAATTATATAAGTTTTAAGATATGAATCCATTTGTTACAAGTCGTAAACTGGAAATTCTAGAATACTTGTAACTAAATTTATAATCAGTGATTGAATGCTACCGCAATAGATTCACTCCCATATTAAAGGCATAATATGATTGACTGTATACTTTTGTTTATTGTGAAATAAAATATATGTTGTATATTATTGTTGTTAGAAATATCTGTTATTTGTTTACAGGAATTAAAAGAATGCTGTGGGCGTGTATTTGTAGACAGTATCCCAGAATTCTGTCCTCCATTGGACAAGGTTGTGGACTTTTCCCAACTGGATGTTATTCTCATCTCCAACTACACATGCATGATGGCACTGCCATTCATCACCGAGGACACGGGCTTCAAGGGCCAGGTGTATGCCACCGAGCCCACCTTGCAGATTGGCCGCTTCTACCTGGAAGAGTTGGCCGAATGGGTTTCGGGCGGCGCGGGCGGGGCGGGCGCCGCGCGGCGCTGGAAGGAGCTGCTACACGTCTTGCCCGCGCCGCTGGCGTTGGCGGCGCGCCCGCGCTCGTGGCGCCGTCTGTTCTCAGCCGCGGCACTGTCTCGGGCACTGGCACGCGTGCGCGTCGTAGGCTACGACGAACGCGTCGACGTATACGGCGCACTTGACGCCACGGCTGTGAGCTCGGGCTTCTGCCTGGGCTCCGCCAACTGGGTGCTGAGGTCGGCACACGAGAAGGTGGCGTACGTGAGCGGGTCTTCGACACTGACGACGCACCCGCGGCCCATCAACCAGGCGGCGCTGCGCGGCGCGGACGTGTTGGTGCTGGCGGCGCTAACGCAGACGCCGGCGCACAACCCGGACCACATGCTGGGCGACCTGTGCGTGCACGCCACGGTGACACTGCGCGCGGGCGGCTCGGTGCTGTGTCCCGTGTACCCGTCGGGCGTGCTGTACGACCTGCTGGAGTGCCTGTCGGCTCACCTGGACACGGCGGGTCTGGCGGGGGTGCCACTGTACGTCGTGTCGCCCGTCGCAGATTCCTCGCTCGCCTACAGCAACATCCTCGCTGAGTGGGTCTCAGTCGGCAAACAGGTACAAAACGAAATTCATTAAGAAAAACCAATTATTTACCTACATGTGAAAAATCAGCAACGTAAGCATATCTGTAAAGTAAACATGTAGAGCGTTAAACTAAACAAACTATGTGTCTGTAGGCCCGCGTGTACCTGCCCGAGGAGCCTTTCCCCCATGCGGCGCTAGTGCGCGCCGGCCGCCTCAAGCACGCGCGCTCGCTGCACGACGACGCCTTCAGTGCAGACTTCCGCCAGGTCAGTGACTCAGTACCCACACTCCTTCATTAACTCACTCAGACAGCACCTCTCGCTCACCCAGTGGCTTAGTTCGTAATTCTTCTCAACAAGTTTTGTTTCCTGTGTAGCCATGCGTCGTGTTCTGCGGTCACCCCAGTCTCCGCTTTGGCGCCGCCGTACACCTCGTTGAATTGTGGGCTTCCAATCCTGCGCATGCCATTATATTTACAGGTTAGTAGGTATTTAGCTCTACTACACAGGTAACTGTGAATAATCTTATTCGTAACTAATGAGTGAGCTTTTATACATTACTCCACAAAAAATATAGATATCGATATGTACCTACTTATGACACATCGCTAGTAATATTTATATTCTTTATAGAGCCTGATTTTCCGTACCTGGATGCGTTGGCGCCATTTCAGCCGCTCGCCATGAAGGCGTTCCACTGTCCCATCGACACCTCACTGAACTACTCTCAAGCCAACAAGCTAGTGCGAGAGTTGCGACCCCGCGAGCTCGCTCTCCCCGAGCAGTATGCGGCAGCCCCCGGGGGCGCCGCCCCCCGCCCACACATCGCGGCCGACGTGCCCACCGTACTGCTGCGCCGCGGCGCCGCGCGGGCGCTCGGTGCGCGCCGCTCCATGGCGCGCGCCACCCTCAGTGGCGCCCTGGCAGCGCGCGTGGCGCCGCGGGACGTGCGCGCCGGCCTGCGCGCGGCGCCGCTACAGGCCGCGCTCCGCGTACGCGACCGCCGCGTGTCGCTAGACGTGGCGCCGCCGGCTGCACCTGGCGCCCCGCGCGCGCAGGCGCCGCGACTGGACTGCTCGGCGCCGGACGTGGACGCGCTGGTGCACGCCCTGGGGCGCGAGGGTCTGCCGGACGCACGGGTGGAGCGCAGCTCGGACGGTTGCATCGTGCACCTGCCGCGGCACGACACGCTGGTGCACGTGGAGCGGCACGCCACGCACGTGTTCTGCCAGGGGGACGCGGCCGTGCGCCAGGCGCTGCGCCGCGCCATCGCCGCCTGCCTGCCGCACGTCTGACCGCACTCGTTTCATTACATCGTACCCGATTACTACTGTTGTCTTTGATTTCGTCATCCTCTTTCCCCTAAATCTCCGATGACGTGCAAATTACTCCCGATATTAATACTTATCTGCGCAAAGCTCAACGTCGGAGTGTAGCATTTAAACTCATGTCTGCCAGGGTACTTTTTAGTCACAGAGTGTAGGTACGAGAAGTGAGAATACAGGCGAAAAGACATTTGATTTACCCTATATTCGGTTCAGTTCAGTTTCGGTTGGACCAAGATTCTACTACGGGATAAAATTGTTGTTATCTATAACTTTATCATACCGATATGGAGAGGTTTAATTTGTAAGTATATTTTATGAGTAGCTTAACATGTCACATTTATCCAGTATTTTCATTTGTTGTCCTGTAGGTATGCATCTACAAGATTTGCAGACACCTGTACATACAAACCTACAGGACAACAAATAAAGATTCTGGATAAATGTGATGACTGCGAGTGGCAGGTAAATTAAAACAAAGTTGGGCGCAAATGTGTTTAATTTGCTTACGCTAAACAATACGAAATTTAGCAATACAAAACTATTGTATTGTTTTGGAATAGAATTGCACAATTTTATAATAATAATAATATAGTGATGTGGTATTGCACATATTTTATATGCAAAAAAGATATATTAATATTTACACACCATTATGACGCATCTAATATGGAGTAACCAGATCGTTAAATTATCCAGATTGCGATCTGCGTCGTCGTGTCATAGCGATCCATTGACAACGACGACACGGCAGTAATAGCATGGACTGCAAGCATCGATCTAATCACCCCAATAGTTGATATGCCAAGGGAAATTATAAAATAGGGATACATCACAGGGAAAGATTCATCACAATAAAAATATAATCTGGTTAATAGAAGTATCGTGCTACGAGTTGAGTAACGCGTCCAGTAAACAAACAGATTATTATGTACGTGTTGGTCTGTTGGTACGACGCAAAGTTCTCGTTGCAGAAATACATTTTATCATAATTTAATGCGTAATAAGATCGAGTGGCCTTCTAATCGACACCGACTATCATCTATGCAACAATGCAGTTATTTACCAACGCACAGACCGCACGCTTAAACCTTACACAAAACATCGAAACGAATCGGAGACAAGTAGGGCGCGGCCACCTACGCGTTGAGGTCCATGTCGGCGAAGATGTCCCCGCGCGTGGCCACGCACAGCGCGTAGTGCGAGTTGAGCTGCAGCAACAGTTCCCGCTCGTCCAGCATCTCCAGCGCCTCCACGCGCGCGCGGTCCTCCTCGGGGAACGAGCGCCACACCGCCTCCATGTCCCAGGCGCGCGCCGCGTCGAACCCCAGCGCGGCCAGCCGCTCCGCCTGCACCGCCGGCGACCCCGCCAGCCGCGCGCCCGCCACCACGCAGCCGCGAGCCGACAGATTGCGCACCATCACCTCCCCGAACTTGTCGCCCAGATTGCATTGCTCGTACACTAGCAGCGCGCAGCGCGGGAAGGCGGCCGCCAGGTGGCGTAGCAGTGCGTCGGCAGCGTCGGGGCGCAGGTACACTAGCACGCACTCGGCCAGCACCAGCGCGGGCGCGTGCGGCCCGGCACCCGCCGCGGCCAACTTGCGCCGGACCTCGGCCAGGCAGCGCAGATCGCAGCCCAACAGGTGGTAGCCGTCAGAGTGCAAGTCACCTTCACGGATCATCACCTCGCCATCTGTGCCCCCAATTATTTATAGTTCTCCAAAAGAGTTGGTCATTCGAAATTGGTGAAAAGTAATAAAAAATATTGATTTGTTTTCTATTCTATTCTGTTGAGATTTCAGAAGAAATAAATAAAGTATAGGAAATAACTACTGGATATTGTGAAACATACTGGGGCCAGCGATCCAATGGATAGATTCATTGTGCACAAGCTTGATCAAGGCAAAGACAATGTGCTATGTATCGACTGTAACTACCAAAGTGCAATACATTCTGAGGGGTCACTCCTCTCAGGGAGGGAAATAAGGATAAAACTTCATTTACTTACAATGTCCTTGTCAATGTGTTAGCATATTCTTGTAACCGTTTGATATTATTCTACTGTTACTGTTTTATATTGTATATTTGTAGCATTTCCTATAGTTTATTTATTTCCTCTGAAACCTCAAAAGTGGGTAATCAACCTTCTATCCTAGACAGGGTACAGATTATAAGATCTCTACAAAAGGTGCTAACAGACTTTCTTAAATGAAATTGCTCAATCAGACCACAGTATGATGTCAGAATCATGCTGGTGTCTATAATCAGTTGGTCAGCCAGGTGAATCCACTGAATATTCAGATATGCACTGCTTTCACCTGGCTGACCTGGCAGTTTACCTTGAAAGTGCATAAAGCTGAACTCTCCACTTACATGTCAGATTCCTATTGGATTCAAGTAAATATAATGTCAAACTATTTATTCCCAATCAGATACAATTTTCCCAATTTAAACAACATATGTAGCTCCTTAATTTGTATGTTTGTGTAATGTCTAACAAAAATTCTACTTATAAAATTAGTAAATCATTAATGTAATCGGTTACCTTCATTTGCTATTTTCTGAAGCAGTTGTTTATTCCGTTTAATAATGTGGCATTTTTTTGATGTAACTGCTGGGAAGTCCAGTTCAATAAAATTGCCCACTGCTTGTGTTGTGTCCTTGAGGCGCCAGTATAATGTATCAAAACCACAGCCCAAATTGATGATCTGACATTTGGTGCCACAGCGCTGAAATTAAATCATAAGCATTTCATTTTCGTTATGTTACCTTAATACCAGCAGTACCAATTAAACGAAATGATAAGTAATTGCTATTAATGAGCATATACACTTAAGTTTTAAAAGATACACCTTTAGATATTGTATGTCAGAATGCATACAACAACAAGAGAGAGCCGCTAACCTCTAAGAATTGATGAATAAATATTTCCATAGCTCTGACTCGTGCGTAATACCCGCGATTTATCTCCGGAGCTTTGCGGTCAACATGCCGTACAAAATACGAAATGTAATCATCTTTCCAGTAACCGAGCTCCACGGCGCATCGCTTGCACTCTGTAGCGTCCGTGTTCGTCGCAATGATTGCCTCGTCCTCAGCCGTCCAAGATTTTATGTTTTCCATTTTTTTATTACTTTAAACGATGCTGAAAATTATGTAATGACTTTGTACTACGTTCATTACAAGCTCCCTACAGTAGTAATGGAACCCACTCTTTAAAACCAGTAAGTTCCTAGATTCAAGACAATGTTATTTTCAGTCTATCATCTTATCATAAATATTGATAATACTGATGGGTGAATGTAGAACTGATTCCGCTGACAAAATCCACAAATAACAATTTGACACTGACATTTACATTTACACTTTTACAGTCAGTCAACAGCATAGACCTTATGGTATAGACTGTACATTTCTATTCAACAAGCATTGTGAGTAATAATCACCTTCGAAACTCAACTTCTTTTGAAATAAGTTGGAGATTGTCCGAATCCCATTACAGTGAATTAGAGATGTAAGGTAAGTCGTGTATTATACTGAAAAATACAGTATTATTAGGGTAAATGTAACACGATATAAAGAGGTAAATGTTAATTTGTTTGTAATGAATAGGCTCAAAACCTAATAGACCAATTATAAAAAATCTTTTACCATTCGGAAGCTACATTATCCACGTCCACGAGTAACATAGACTATATTTTATTTTGGGAAAAACAGAATGTGGAAAGAAATTTGGGTTTTTCGGACACAAGGTAGGTGTGAAACGTCAAGCAGAAAAGTTGCTTATTCTGCGTACGTACTGTCTAATTATTTTTTTAAAACCTTTCCCCGCATTTGCATTTTCTCCTGTGTCGTGGATCCGATTACAAACATACAAGTTCACATACACTATGACACCTAGACCCGAAACAACAATTTGTGGATCACACAAAGTTTTGCTCCGTGTGGGAATCGAACCCGCGACATGTTGCACGGCAGCCGGTTGCCCAACCACCGCACCAGCCGTGCAGTCAAAGTCAAACGATGTGACTATTCGGTAAAAAGCATAATATGTTCTAATTTATTATAAATTTTATAAATACCTACAAAAGAGTCCGCGACATACTATACCTATATATGTCGAGTGAGGAATAACAACATAGTATAAAGAAAAAACAACCACATTTTAATTTTTTTTACTACATTGAATCGCGTTTGTTTTACTCATGCCATTAATCCTTATCCAAATTTAGAGTAGAGAACGTACAATTTATGTAGATAATATTTAGTCTTCGAATGATTAAAATTGGACGTTTCATTTTGAAGTTATTGTGAAATAATAATAATATATTATAATCTCTTTTTGCCTCTAACTCGACTTTGAACGTCGATGAAAGCACCATACCACCTACCATTCCGCATTGCGGCCACTTTATGGCGGAGGTTCATTTCTCACAAAGAGATATTCGGCAGGAGTTGCTAAGTCTTGATGTTCATAAGTCGAGCGGGTCCGACGGCATACCGGCAGTGGTACTCAAGCAGTGTGCTCCTGAATTGTGCCCTGTTCTAACGCGTTAGGCAAGTACCGTCTTCGTGGAAGACCGCCTACGTGTATCCGGTGCCCAAAAAAGGCGATAGAACAGTCAACAGATCCGACGAATTACAGGCCTATCGCTAAATATTACCTCCCTTCTTTCCAAGGTGATGGAGCGAGTTATCTATACCAAGCTCATTCGATACCTAGAGGAGCACGACCTGCTCAGCGACCGTTTTCGCCACAGTTGCTCGACTGGTGATCTTCTAAAGTATCTCACACATCGTTGGGCCTCGGCCATTGAGCACATAATATGACAAATGTGCGTAAAAACAAACTAAACGAAAAAAGTTTATTGCTGTCAGTCCAAGGTTCATGTCTGGCTGTCAGTCGTTTTGGTAAGTGTCAAACTGTCATTTGTGTCCACTGTCCAAATGTATCAATACCATAAAAACAGAGTTTAAGTGGAACTATAATTTTTATTTTATTTTATATTTATTTTACATTGTCTTACAGAAATCATGTTAGGTATTTTCATGTACATATTTGAGTTAAAAAAAGAGTTACTAGTTGGTTTTTCGTTATCAATATTGTATATAACCTATTATCTAGTGGAAGTGGTCAAGGTAAAACACTGAACAGTTACTCATACCTACAGGCGTCATTACCTCATTGTATCTCAGCTACATTAGTAATATGTTAGCCATTTTGAGCTACGCGCTAGATATATATTGAGAAATCATTATACACTACACTCCAAAATAATCTACATTTATTTACTGCTCAGCTGATTTATCCAATATTGATATTATATTTAATATTAATATTATATAATTTATTACGTGAGAGGAGTCAATAAATAATTTAACAAACAATTTTTATCACTTCATAGAATATCTATTTGAATATTAAAGTGTTTATTAGTTATTTCCCAAACAAAACAATATTTATTCATACCTATATCATCAGGTGGAAGACATCCACAGCTGTACAAAGGTCTCCCCTAATCCTTCATATTAAATATTTATCAGCATGTAACTTTTATCTAATTTCAAATTTGTATCTCAAACTTTACTTAATTCCTTTATTCTTACTATATTGTTTAAAAGTAATAGAATAGAAATAAGTAAATAATAAATATCTGTTATACCAGTGTACTTTTCATAGTTATATGTTTAAAATTCAGTTGACATGCTAAAAAATTTTGTTACAGAAGCCTATACTGATATGTCAAGAAGGAGATTTTCGTCAGTTCCTAGAAGAGAATGTGCCACTACTCAGTGAGCACTATTGGCCAACACCATGGTGTGTTGAGTCACGACTGCAGACCGTTCTTGGGTCTTTATTGCGGTCTCGTCTCTTGCCGCCTGTAAAATATCACCGGTATAGTTTATTTAACTATGTATAAAAACATTGGCACTGACACTAGCTATAGCAGCCTGCTATATAGTTATACTGTAACAATTTTATTAAATTGCAGAGAGGTGCTGCAGTTGTCTGATGGTGGGCAAGTCGCACTGGACTGGGTACGGCACGAGGCGGGGCCCGCGCGCGCTGTCCTATTAGTGCTGCCGGGGCTCACGGGCAGCGCCGACGCAGACTACGTGCGCTGCTTGGCCGCCGCCGCATCTGCTCTGCGGGCACACTGCGTTGTCTTCAACAACCGCGGCCTGGGCGGCCTACCGCTGACTACGCCACGCCTGTACTGTGCCGTCAGCCACTCCGACCTGGCCGAAGTGGTGCGTGCCGTGCGCTCTGCTGCCGGAGACGTTCCGCTGCTGGCGGCGGGCGTGTCGCTGGGCGGCCTCATCCTGGGCCACTACCTGGCCGAGCACGGCGAACGGGCCGGCGTGCACGCGGCACTGGCGGTGTCGTCCCCGCTGGACGTGGAGAAGGGCTCGGAGTCCATGGAGCGCGCCCCGCTGAACGCGTTGCTATCATACCATATGGCGCGCAACCTGCGTCGCACGTTACACGCGCACGAGCGCCTGCGCGCCGCGCCCTGTGACTGGAGCGGAGTGGATCGCGCGCGCTCCGTGAGGGAGTTCGATGCGGCCTTCACGACAAAACACTTCGGTTTCGGGTCAGTGGACGCGTACTATCGCGCCGCCACCCTGCGCGACAAGCTGGCGGCGGTGCGCGTGCCGTTACTGTGCCTGTGCGCAGCGGACGACCCGTTCCAGCCGCTGGGCGCCATCCCCGTGGCCGAGGCGGAGGCAGCGCGCAGCGTGGCGCTACTAGTGACGGCGCGTGGCGGGCACATAGGGTTCCTGGAGGGCTGGTGGCCGGCACGGGGTGCCCGCGACCAGTATATCGCGCGGCTGGCGGCGCAGTACTTCGCGGGTCTGCTGCGGCATCGCGAGCTGCTGCATGCCGCTCCCGACTGCTGACGGCCCGCGCGGGGCTAGCCTGGGCCCCGACTGCAGACGGCTCGGGGCTGGCCCCGACCTGACGTCACTCTACGCACACTATGTGCGTTGTGAGCTTTGCCTTAATAATTTTTAACAAAGACTTACTTTGTTAAGACTCACGCAAATATTTGTGTAAAAGCGTAGCTTTTTACACTGACAGCTACATATCGTAAGTTAATTTAGTACACTGTGATTTACTAACCATAGCATATTTTTAATTTAATATAGTTGTATGGGATTACTAAGGTTGCATAATAATGACTAATGACAACGAAAAACGCGCGCGTTGTAACGTTATCTAATTTTACGCACGATTTAGACGAATCTTCTTCGTGTTTATGGGCCTTAATAGTTGTTAGTACATCCGTCGAGAGCGATGCGTTCGAGAGATATAGTATTATTATACATGTTACATTTGTTGCATTTCAGATAATTTATATTAATTATTATATTATTATTTAAGCACTTGGTGTTGTTTATTAATTACCCCACTAAGCAGTTATTAAATTCAATACATTTCTGTGTGTTTGCTGACGAAATATTTCGGTTTTTCCGCCACTTTTATCCAGTCATCAAAACAGTTATAATAATTACATATTATTCTTATGTTTAAATATAAGCAGAGATGGTGTTCCTAGTTTGTACATTACTGAAAATGAAGGATAGAAATGACTAAAGTTAAAAGACAATATCAGATAATATAAAATTATATTATAGTATGTACATACATAGCGATGACAGCGCCTATGTTCAAACCAAGTAGACGATTACAAGTATGATGAAGTAAGAAGAGTTCAGCAGGAGTCCATGTCGTAGCCAAGTGCGCGGCAGAAGGCTTGCACCAGCGCCTCAGCGTGATCGAGTCGCTCCGTCCCGCTCCCCGCCCCCGCTGGGGGCCGCGCGGCCGCCGCCGCCCCCAGCGACCCCAGAGCCGCCGCGAACGCCTCCGCTTGCTCCACGGCGCGCAGCTCCTCGGCTTCAGAATCCGACTCGTCCGACCCACCCGAGCTCGACCATGACTCTGATGATAACACTGGAATAACAAAATAATAGATCACAATTAAAATTGTTTGCAAAAAAGCAAGTAGATAGTTATTTAACATGAACATGAAGAATATAGTCATAAAAGCAGTGGGGACCGACATGGGGGTAAACGGGCCGCGCGGCCTTCTCGTTGCAGGCCGGGCCACACGTGCGCGTGTAGCGCGTCCCGTGCGCGCTCGGGTCCGTCATCTGGCGGCGCGCCGCGCCACGCTAAGAGCTCGGCACGTTGCGCGGCGCTCCAGGCGGCTAGCGGCCCGCCGGTCTCGGCATCGCAGTCGGCCACCACGAGGCGTACGGCGGCGCGCCTCCACGCTCCACTAGCGCCCGTCGCTCTCCTACACCACACACTATCATCTTCTAGCTGTATAGACAAATAGACAATACACTGTTGTGCTAACAATCATTAATATCATTCAGGCCCCAGCACTGAGTGAAACTGGGCTGAATGATTATTATGCTAACATTCAATGAGGACATTGTTTGCTTAGATCATCAGTCATCTGACTCAATGATTCATTGCCACAATGATAACATATGTGACGAGTAAGAAAAAGTTTTATAATATTCTCAGGTATTATAATAATGACTAGGTTAGAAAGAAAAACAATGTTTTTTTACATAAACACAAGAGGTGTCATCAGGAGGATCATACATGAAACTCACAACTAGCACAAAGTATGAATTATGTAAAGTTGATCACAACCATACCTCCTCATCAGTAAGGTGAATGATGTGTGCTTCTATACTCTCCGGACTGACACCAAGCTGCCCATTATCTGTCAGTATGTGCACTCTCACATTTGCTGTGTAATATTTATTGACCAGCTTCCATACACGATCACCAGATTGTTCACCTTGGATGTATGTGTCCGTTACATCATTGTCTATGAGTTCTGAAAATAATTTGAATATTTATTGCCTCTAGTTCTATTAAAACCTCGATTGTTTTATATCACTGTACATACCAGAAACAATAGCCTTAGCAGCCGCTTCTTCGAAACTGCTGATCAAAATTACAGGCAATGTTCCCAATGTTGACATTGTGACTGCTAAAGTAGTTCTTGTTACACAATAAATAACACAGCAAACGAACGACGAATATATCTCGACGATGTTAATAACAATATTTTCTAGTCAAAGTACATCTAAATTGTTCTGTACGAATAACCAGTATTATATTAGGATGTAAGGTAATAATACGTTTAGAGGTCCCGGCAAAATATCCTAAAATGTATTTTTATGGATAAGCTAAATGTTTGTAAATCAATTCATTCACTTAACACTATTTTCATTCTGCCATTACGTAGTGAAAATATCACACCTAAAACTATACGCATTTTTATTAGGTACTCTAAATCCTCAAAGGTGCTACAAATATTTCTATTCAATTTCACTTAAACTGAATAACGATGGAATGTATTTTATCGAATTCTGTCCTACTACAATTTTGTCGTCGTTGTTGACATGACAAATTGACAATTCAAGACATGACTTTGATGTTTTGACATTTTTAGAATGACATTTGATTGACCATAGATTAGATTAAAAGGATGTAGATTATCGTTTATATTACATTTGGTGACTTATTATTGTAGTAAAATATTATTGCAATATTAAACTAGTGTAAAAATGATAAAACATTCGGGAATAAAGTGCGAATCTTGATAATATTACGTTTTTCAATTACTTTGCTTGCATTATATATAATACTTAATAGACTAGTATTCAGTAATCTTATGTGAATGTCAATGCATAATCTACTTACTTCAAAGCTAGACAAGCAGACGTAGCTAGACATTTTTATAACATTCATATTTTTTGTAGGTCCTATTAGTGTTTTCTGTTTTGAATTAGCAATTTTGTTTTTATTTTTATTTAATTTATTTTCGAGCAGTTTTTTTAGTATAATGTACTATTGATATTCTAGATAATATAAATACGTGTTCATTATTGTATAAAAATAATTTTAATAAATAACTTTAAAATGAAAGGTGCAAAGTTGTTAACGTGTGCTAATCGCTGCATAGCAGGGAAAACACCTCAACTACCCTTGCCTGTGCACAGGTATGTACAGGAATTCACGTAAATTCCATAAATATTGTTAAATTTCAGATATATCTAACCATGGCCTTGTGGTTCCATAGTCCACGGTCACTTGGACTTTGTACCTCAACCTCATTATTTATAGACAGCTGACATACTTATTTAAAACTTTATCTCTGATTAAGGTCAACCTTTGCACTTCTAAATATGGCTAATAGGAATTAAATTCTAATTAATACTGATAATAATATACAATTGACTGTAATACCTAATGTAAACCCATTTGACTAAATAAGTTAATTTTAAGCTGTTTATTGTTATTACTAATTCAGTATTATTGATGGGACTATGTCTGTGTAGTATGTACAATGTTTACACTGTGTATATACACTGAGGCACACTGTGTATGTTTCTAGATTAAAAGATTTATTTTTTTACACAAAATACTATTTTGTTTTTCCTTAACTTGAACTTTATGATACATATAAACCAAATCTACATTTGTTTTCTCTGTGATTGGGTCAGGGGGTTATTTTTAATTTCAGAGGTTTCTTTTGTATTGTTTGTAGGTATCTTTTGAAAGTCAAACTTTCACACAGTAAAAGTAGTTAAAAACACAAAATAACCTAATTAAAAGTTAATTGAGGTTACTTGAACTTGTTTCAATGCAAAGCTCCTTAGATACAAATGTTAATAAGAAACCTACCTTACATGGGATAAAATCTTGCCTTAACTCGTGATAATTAAAGAACAATGAACTATTGTTCTTTAATTGTGTCTATAAAACCGGTACTCGATGAGTTAATAATATTACTATAATACATTTATTCTAAGGGGGTAGGTAAAGGTAAATGCTTGTTCATGTAATACCCACATTTTGCCAGTTGCATTATAAACCCTATGTAATTGGCACAGAATCTATTCCCATACAAATTAGTACTAAGGAAAGGATGTGATATATTTATGTTTATTTTATTATCAATGTTTTTAAAAAGTATAAGAAAAAAAGCAATAAATATGCGTATAAAATTTTAGCAGATGGCTGGCCACGGAAGCGCGCCAGGCTCCCGCCGAGAAGCGAGGCGCGGCACGCCAGAGTGCGTCGTTTACACTAAACCTATTCCGCGGCCACTTGGAGACCGCACAGGTGTTCCCCTACCCTGAACCCTTGGCCGATGACCAGCGCCAAATGCTGCAGGAGCTCGTACCACCCGTAGAAAAGTTCTTCCAAGAGGTAAGTAAGATTCTCGTAAATAATCATCATAATAAGAATTTCATCGTAAAGAAGTTAATCGCGGGTTCGCAGCGCGATATGAAACAACATGAGGTTAGAATTAGGCTGATTGGTTTCAATTCCAAGGTCCCAACATTTTTAGAATAATGCCCTATGCCCTTAAAACGATATGCACTTATAAAGGCATTAGTCTTCCACCTGTACCTCGCCAACAATATGTCGACTTTGTTGTACACATCACTTCACTTCTCTTGGCAATGCTTTACTTCACATGCTTCAGCGCCGTGCAAATATCACGTGGCAAGACGCCAGAGTTTGTAGTTGCCACTATGATTACGACAGAAATCGGTTGCTAAGTTATGAATTGAATTCATTATTAGACTAGCAATTTTATTACAAAACGATTAGAATTTTAGAAAACGAATATCTCAATAATTATTTGACTAACCTATAAAGATCGCCCAATACCATACCTCAGGTTCGTTAGTCACAGTCGCACATACCTCAGGTTCGGTAGACGCACTTGCGTTTAAAGTTATAATTGTTTCAAATAAAAGACATGATTTAATTTGTTATTAATTTATTGTATTATTCTATTAAAATAATTTATTTTCGCTTGTAGGTAAACGATCCCTCCAAGAACGACTCGAATTCGAAAATAGAAGACAACACAGTAGCGGGTCTGTGGGACCTGGGAGCGTTCGGTCTGCAAGTGCCGGCGGAGCACGGCGGGCTCGGTCTGTCCAACACGCAGTACGCGCGCCTCGTGGAGGTGGTGGGCGCGCACGACCTGGGCGTGGGCATCACGCTTGGTGCGCACCAGTCCATCGGCTTCAAGGGCATTCTGCTGTTCGGCAACCCCGAGCAGAAGGCCAAGTACCTGCCGCGGGTCACCGGCGGGGAGTACGCTGCCTTCTGTCTTACCGAGCCCTCTTCTGGCTCCGACGCCGGGTCCATCAAGTAAGTACCGCACATTGTACTTTCTCACTAACTAGCCAGTACCATTATTAATATAAATGAATAATTTTTAAATGTGTATTCATGACAATACCGCCGTATCAGACAAACGAAGTAGTAAGATGTGGGTGTTCGACAGGTCCCGCGCCGTGCTGTCTCCCGACGGCAAGCACTTCATCCTCAATGGCTCCAAAATCTGGATCAGCAACGGAGGCATCGCCGAAATCATGACTGTCTTTGCGCAGACACCCATTGAGAAGGATGGAAAGACTGTCGATAAGGTACACATCTAAATATTTCAACTAAGCTAGTTAGTATACAAACTACTTTGTAGATACTTATCTCGTAGGTCTCTCGTGAGTGTATGCTACAAGTGGTATATGATGGTACAGGTGACGGCGTTCATCGTGGAGCGATCCTTCGGCGGAGTGTCGTCCGGCCCACCCGAGAACAAGATGGGCATCAAGTGCTCCAACACCACCGAGGTGTACTACGAGGACGTCAAGATCCCCATAGAGAACGTGCTGGGCGGCGTCGGCAACGGGTTCAAGGTGGCCATGAACATCCTCAACAACGGACGCTTCGGCATGGCGGCCGCCCTCGCCGGCACACAGCGCTCGGCCCTGCGCCAGGCCGCCGAGCACGCCGCCACGCGCGTGCAGTTCGGGAAGAAACTCGCAGAGTTCGGCACCATACAGGAGAAGCTGGCGCGCATGGCCATGCTGCAGTACACCACCGAGTCCCTGGCCTACATGGTCAGCGGGAACATGGACACGGGAGCCACGGACTACCATCTCGAAGCCGCCATCTCCAAGGTAAGGGAGCGCTGCGCCTTGCCCGCCTCACTCTCCTATCTCCAACTAGTTTCTTTTTTTTACTGAATGACTTAAATATTTTTATTTAAACACATTTTCCAATGCCAGATAAATTTTAAGTGAGAATCTGTAAACATTTGACAATTCTTCCATACTAAAAACTGTCAAATGTCAATCGGCCTATAGTGTACAAGAATAAGAAGAATACAACTTATTCTCTGTGCTTCAGGTCTTCGCGTCGGACTCAGCATGGACGGCAGTGGATGAGGCTATCCAGATTCTGGGCGGTATGGGATTCATGAAAGCCACCGGATTGGAGCGAGTGCTGCGTGATCTACGTATTTTCCGCATCTTCGAAGGCACCAACGACATCTTGCGCCTGTTCGTGGCGTTGACTGGCATCCAGTTCGCGGGCTCGCACCTGCAGGAGCTGCAGCGCGCCTTCAAGAATCCCACGGCACATCTGGGGCTCATCTTTAGCGAGGCCGGGCGCCGCGCCGCAGGGGCCGTGGGCCTGGCGCGCGGGCCCGACCTGGCGCCCCACGTGGCGCCCGAGCTGAGGCCGCTGGCCGCCGAGCTGGGGCGCTGCGTGCTGGAGCACGGCCGCACGGTGGAGGCGGCGCTGGTGCGACACGGCCGCGGCATCGTGGACGAGCAGTTCATACTCAACCGCCTGGCCAGCTCCGCCATCGACGCGTACACCGCGGCGGCCGTGATGTCGCGCGCGTCTCGCGCCGCGCGCCTGCACCTTCCGTCGGCGCCGCACGAGCTAAAGCTGGCGGAGGCGTGGGCGGAGGAGGCGGTGACGCGTATGCCGGCGTCACTGGCGGCGACGCGCGACAGCCGGTCGCTGCGCCAGTTCGCGCGGCTGGCGGAGCTGGGCGGCGCGGTGGCGGCGGCGGGCGGCCAGCCGACCCCCAACCCGCTCAATCTGTGATCGTGCGATCTGAACGTCTCGGTGTTCTCCATTTTCCGAGTGTGAAGAGTTCTAGCAAGTATTATATTTAGGTAATTGTTCCAAGTCTTAATCTCACGGTCGCTCGACGGGTTCATATTTTTTGACTTTGCTATATTTAGTACCAAAATTATGTGACTTTTTAATCACTGAACCTAAATCAAATAAAACAAAATGTAAATAACTGTACATAGATTAAGTCGAATAGGTGTATTGTTGTTGGTCATAATCATAGCTATAGTAGTAAAACAAATAAGGTAAAGTTGTAAATGTGTGCGGTCTGCAGTCTGTTGCCTACTGTCTTAATTTCTCATTTTATTTACGTTAGTAGGTGCCACATTGAAATTAATACCGCCTCAGAATCAACTAAAATAAATAACTAAGGTAGCTTATACAAAATATAATTGGAAGGTGAACTCTCTAGTACAAGACAAAAATCATCAAAATATAAAAATTGGTTTAGCTATTCTCGAGTCTTAGTTTTATTCATGCAACATATAAAATATATAATTATGCTTAATAAATTATAATTTTAATAAAAAAGGTATGTGTGTTTTATTGAATATAAGCCCAAACGCCTGATCATAGTTTCATTTTCCGATGGTAAAAAGTAGAGGCTCAGGAGTTACAGGTATTGTGTAGTACACTACCCAAGGTTAGGTATATTGGACGACAAATCTAATCTCTAGGGGAAGATTACTAAGTATATTTTGACAGGTAATGGGGGTGCTGGCGAAAGCTAGTAGATGACTTCATAATTAAAATCCTTTTGTGATTTCTATTGCTTCTTACCATATTTATTAATTTACTATATACAAGAACTGGACATAGGCAGTAATCATGGCTAACTAACTAAAGGTGCTTCTAAACAGGCAATATTTTTCTGCCACACAGTGGCTGGCAACATTGCAAGTGTTGCTAAGCAACATTACATTCACTAGATAAACTTTTTGAGTTCTTTTGGTATGTTCATCCAAGGACGTTGGAAAAAAGGCGTACGTAATGTCACTTAGAAATGATTGAAGCACCAAAATGTCAGTAGTTTAATTATGTGTGCATGTACTTGCAACACCGTCATGTATGATGTGTAATGACGGGCCATATTACGCGTCAATGTGTGTGTATTCTGCGTATAAGTCTACAGTAGCCAGGTGCCACAGTCGTTTCAAGAGAATGTCCGCCTTTTTTCAACGTCCTTGTGGTCATTCTACTCCTTCTTCAGTTAATGCTTCCATTAATTGTTCCGGTCCTGTGGACCCACTAAGGCCAATCGTGGTGCTATGCTTATAACTCTATGATAGCAGCCAATTTATGCGTCGATTTGAAGAGAAGAGTCCCAAGCGCGAGCGTTAACTTGTCTCAAAGTGGAACGCAGCGCCGCTCCCGGGCCCAGCGTCAATGTCAGCGGGAATGCCTCGCCCCGCGGCCGCGCGTACAGAGCGTGCAGCGTCTGCTCCCACCGCACCGGACGCGACACGTGCCGCGGGAGCTGGCGCCGCACCGCCGCCGCCGACCGGTACACCGCCCCGTCCACGCACGAGTACACCGCCAGCCGCGGCGCGCGCACCTCTATCGCACCCAGCGCCTCGCGCAGAGCCGCCTCCGCCGGCGCCATCAGTGGAGTGTGGAATGCGCCCTCCACGCGAACGCGCGCTGCGCGCCTGATGCCCCACTCGGCACCGTATTTCTCTATGAAGCGCAAGGCTTCCTCATCCCCGGCCAGCACCTTGCAGCCCGGGTACAGGTAGTTGGCCACCTGGCAAACCGGCCCCTCTAGACCGCGCTCGGTGGCGTGTTCGCGCGCGCGGTGCATCGCAGCAGAGAGGCGCGCGTCGGCCGCCAGCCACACGGTGAGCATGCCCCCGGGGCGGCCCGCCGAGGCCGCGCGCATGGCGGCGGCGCGCAGCTCCACGAGTCGCAGAGCACGCTCTAATGACAGGGCGTCTGCAAAGACGAGCGCGGCGATCTCTCCCAGCGAGAAGCCTGCCGCGGCGCGCACACGTTCCACAGCGGCCGGGCGCTCCTCGCGCACACGCTCGAGTGCCGCTAGTGACGTCACCAACACTGCAGTTTGGCAACGCCGCGCTAGCTCGTCCTCAGGGCCCTCGAGGCACACGCGAGTCACATCCCACCTGTACCAACCGATGCTTATGTTAGATTTAAATGGCACTAACAATTCAACCGCTATGAACTGTGTTACAGGGGTTAGTAATAAAATTCAAAAATGTGCGAGTTCCCTCTGTGCATCGCAAGAACTTGCGAATTGATTCGCATCCCGCATCAAAATCTCACTTATTTATCTTCCCAAAATCTTTGTTTCTTTTTCCTGTATCTCCTAAGCAATAACAAAAGTGCACACTTCATTTTACTATCCATGTCACGACCTAGTTTTTACTTTAGATTTTAAAATACGTTTAGTATGGTTGACGGTCGTCGAAGGAATGGTCACCCCTGGGGGCTTACTCTTGAATCCAATTCCGATCGATCGACATTGGTATTGTGAAATTTCGTACTCTTGAGTTGCAACACTAGCGCCCATTGCATCCGTATTGCGTGGTTATTGAATGAACTAAATGGTATTGAGTTTAGTTTTATATTCCATACTCTGAATGCTATTGTAACAGCTACGATTGTGGTTGTATAGTGTTGACATTGAATAATTATTGAGATTTTATTGGATTGAAATTGCATTGACATTGAAATTGGTTTCAAGAGTAAGCACACAGGAGTGTGGCCGTGTCGCACGGAACCACATCGTAGCAACAGCAATTCGTGTCGTAATTGCCTGTGTTGCGAATTCGCATCGCATTTTTGTGTACGAGCCCTTAATTCTTAGTATGTATTAGCACTAACTCTAGAATTGTGTTTGGTATAATTATGGCATTCAGGTCCATATTTCTTTCATGAAATTAATGAGTGTTAGATAGGACAATTTATATTTCATACCTATTTGTCAATAGATTTCTCATAGAAAATTTTAAGGTCTAGTAAATTTACCCAACAATATTAGATGCTAGGTCGTAAAGTTGTTTGGCTGCCGGGAAGTTTTGTAGAGCACGTCCCATTCCCACTTGCTGAGAGCCTTGACCCGGGAACAATAGGACGGTGGTATCGCGAGGATCCACTCGTGGCTGCACAGGGTCGGGCCGGCCCTTAATTCGTGCTGGGTATGGCTGGGTTGCCCAACGCATCTCGGGCTCTGCAGCTTCCACTTCAGATTCACCAAATGAACTTGCATCATCTAACAGCCGGCGAAGAGGAGTTTCTTTAGGTGCCTTCGAACATTTTAACCGTGACCTTACCAACAGGCGAGGCGGTAGGGCCTCATAAAATATCCTAGTGATACGCTGCATTGATATTAAGACGTATTTCTATTGAGAAGTACCTAAACACATTAAAAAGTGTAAGCAGTTTGAACTTGCTTTCTACAAATTGAAGTAACACCTAACACCAAAATTACATTAATCACGGTGTACATTTAGTATATAGTTAACATTAAATAAGTCACCCCTTCATATAAAAATGACTATTATTTTATGCAAAATATGTACAATTCGAGGTTATACAAATATCAAAACCTTCCTGTAATATTATTGTCTGTCAAAACATCACATTGGCATTTGGCATTGGCATTTACAAATTTTGACATTTGTGTATATTTAACCATAGACTAGGCAGAATACGGAATTCCGTACTCTAATGGTTGTTGCGTAGAGATCTCAGCAAAACAGCCTATTGATAGTCTATGCGTAGTTTTCGTACCTCTATTATTCAGTCAGTACCACTCAGTAGTAGTCACTTTCATCAACCAACCATTTAAATTTTCAGCCAAATCATAGTTTCATCCATCCATCCACACAGTATTATCGGCATTTTATCTTTTTTCAGTTATTATTAGTTTGTGGTATTTGTTGTCATTGGTGCTAAATAGCGAACAATACTTTATTTGGTGTGAACTGTTAATTTACTTGCATCGTTAGAAAGTTGGTAAGCATAGATTTTATATTCTAGATTTTGTGTGAATTTAGTTGTAATGAATTCGTGGTATTATTGAAATCGCGCAAAATTGTTACTGTTTATAAATTTTGACAGCGTGTCGTTGTTGATAAATGATAATTTTCTATAAAAACAACCTTTATTTACGTGGAAGGTATTGAAGTGCATACTTAACCTATTCATAAATTATTACAGCTGGCTTTTTTATATAGCATGTTCAATTTGTTGTTACAATCGCCATTCTTTAAATCGTATTTGTACATTATTATTTCGACATATAGAAACCAAGAGAAAGTGCCTATGCCAATTAATTATTGAATCATAGTCTCTTAAAGTGTGTTAAAATTAAAATAAGAAGTTGTTCGTTTTAAAGACTGAAACAACAAGTGTATGACGTCCAAGATAAGGCATGAAATCAATTTCTCTTTAGTTTGGCTCATGGTATATTTACTAAACTAACTCGCCAACTGCATGGGCTAGTGGTATCAATCGCGACTGCTTAGTTAACAGGTGTCAATTATCATGTTTGACACAGATAAAGTATAGGTTTAATTAATTATACTCCAAAAAGTACCGAGTCAATAACCTCTATTTAGTGTATGGCAGTAGACTCACTCGCTATTACATTGAACTGGAAAACATAAAATTTGTATGGTGAAAGGTATGAAAGTACAAAAAAAATTGAACTCAAACTTTTATTCAGAGTATAACTAAGAACTGTTAGAGAATGGCATTAAACCCCTCTTGTATGAATGGTGTGATTAATTACCCACCACATAAGCAATATTTATAAATAGAGTACTAATTTTCAAATTGTATTCAGTGTTAAAGAATGGCACGAGGTCAGCAGAAACTACAATCACAAGCAAAAGCTGCAGAGAAGCAATCAAAACTGAAGAAGCAGCAAGGCCACAGCGCCAATGACCAGAAGAAGGCCGCGCAGAAAGCCCTTGTCCATGTCTGTGTTGTGTGCAAGGTAACTAAATACTTGTTTACCAATCTATTGAATATTTTACAGCACAACAAGTAAGAAATAAAGCAAGAACATTGCTAATTTCAGAATAGATATTGCTAATCAAAATTGAACCTGATCACTGGTTAATTACTCATATATCTTCAAAAATGTTCTGCACCACCATTGTTTGTGACTCTCTAACTATTTGGAGACTTTATTTACAGTCAACTAGAATGGTATTTTACTAATTTTGAGTACTTAATAGAATTAAAACCAAATGTTATGGTTATATATAACTACTATGGAATAAAGCAATCAATTAATTTAACATTTATACATTAAATTATAAGCAGTTTTTTGAAAATAGAAAATAAATTCATTTACTTATTATTTTGTTTTTTGCTGCTGACTACTAAACTAATTGAATAGAAATAAAATAGCACACTATGCGCACACACATAGAGCTTGTGTCTCATTGTGTTTAGGCCCATCTAGTAGTCACCGGGGGAGGCGTCTGATCAGCATTAGAAGTCTTGTGATGATATTATTGAAGAATGACTCATTTACACTTGTTCCTCAATTATTTTCAGGCGCAGATGCCCGACCCTAAAACCTACAAACAACATTTTGAAAACAAACATCCCAAGAATGACCTTCCAGAAGACTTGAAATCCATCTAACGCCTATGACTATTCTGTAGATTTAACATTTATTTAACTTTTAAGAATTGTAAAGATATCTTCATATTGAAACTGCAATTGTTTATTTCATTATGTTTGATGCTATGTTTTTTATTAACTAAATGGAATGAGCACTTGAACTGCCACATTTGTTGATGGCATGTAGTATTTCATTGTGCGAGGTACTCATGCATCTTGGTGCAAGTCGATTAAGTAGCTTGCAACTTCATTTTCTGGTACTTACCTATTGTGTTAAACCTGTAGCAGTACCAACTACCTTTCATTATCCATCTGTTTTCTGTTTTTTAATAATATAAAATTAAACAAAATGCCTATATTACTTTTTATGTAATATTAAACTACCGCTTACCTATCTATTGTTCTTGTAATTTTGGGCATAATATCTGGCACTTAATTTGGCAAGAACTTCTGGTAGTGGGGTACCTAAGCGTGCACATTGTGTACTTACTAATTATTTTATGGTTATTGCCATTATTTAGTTTTAAACCACGTCTCGTGAAAGAAATCAATAAAAAAGTGTAATGGAATTGATGACATGTAAGTTACTATCACAAATTTTTGCCAAGTTATGTGCCAGGTTGTTGAACCTTACTTGATTTGAAGCACTTTAATTTATAATAGGAGAATAGGGTCAACATTTATTACAAATAAAACATTATTTCTTTTTTTAATTAATTTTTAATTCTATAGTTAATTATTAATATCCACACAACTGAGATAACCGGATCAACCAGAAAGTTTTCTAATATTTATTTATTTTACGACGACATTAGGTAACTATCTGAATTCGAAATTATACGCGAAGCCGTTAATTTTACATGTAACATTTTTTCGACATCACCTTGTAAACTATTTCTTAAAAATTCATTGTATATCTATAACTGTACACGCAATCTTACACACTACAGGCGGTTTCCCAAGTTTCATTATAAATCTTGAGATAACTAAAATTAACAGATCTATAATTATGTAGATAAGTAAAGATTTATATTTAACAGACACACATTCAAAATTCTTCAATTGTTGTAGAATGTAGAAAGTACGCACTTAAATAATAAAAAATCGAATTCATTTACAGAGAAGAATAACACACTGCCTTTGTTTACATTTTTTCATAAGTTTCGGTGTGACCACAAGCGCATGAACGCGAATATAAATCGGTGGCCTCGTCGTACTTCTCATCACCAAAAGTATGCTCGTGCACGGCGCGTGACTTATCAAACAGACTGGAGCGCACATCCATTCGCAACGCGCGCAGCCTTCGCGACGTCTGTGTGTGTCGCGCGCGCACCCGCGCCTCCTCGCGGCGCGCGCGCTCCTCCTCCAGCGCCTCGTCCGAACCCCACACTAGTCGTGCGCGTGCCTCCACCTGCGCGCGCAGATACAGTCGCATGTCACCGAGCCGCGACCCGTGCGGATTGCGACGCCGCACAAAGCGCAGAGCCGGAGGCCGCAGGTCTAGGTCGCAGTCCTTCAAGAAGAATGAGTTCTTCGCCTCGGTGCGTGTAATTAGAGCGTGCGCACCGTCGTCGTCCCTGTAGTGCAAGGATAGTTAGCGGCCAGTCGGAACAGCTAATGCTAATGATCGCAAACTATATACCGACCTGCACTCGTCGCACACATTGTATCCGAATGTGTCGAAGAGATAAGACTCTGGGAACAGTTGGTCACATTCGAGGCACTGCGGTCTTTCCGTCGGGTCTACGATGGGCGCAGGTTGCGGGACGGCCCGCACCGGGATAGTAGACTCCTCTTCTTCAGGCAGGAAGCCGCCGCCGCTGTCCGTGGCCGCGGCGGGCGCAGGAATGCGCTCACAGACATTGGGCCGGGCCACAAGGCGTGCGTCCCGCAGCTGCCGTGCACGCAGACGGTTGCGCTCGATGCGAGCGCGCTGCGCGGCTGATAGCTCCTCCGCAGTGCTTGTGGGCTCTGCTTTCTCAACTTCAAAGCGGGGCACGTCGCTACTCTCTACTGCTGTCATTCTTGAACTTGAAAAAAAAAATTGTTAGTTAGGTAAATATTTTTTTTTTAATCTGTCAAACACCAAGCGGTCACCGGTGACCGCGACCTATTGTTCTTTAATTGTGTCTATAAAACCGGTACTCGACGAGTTAATATTGGTAATGACTCATTAAGATTACCTACCCCAATTAAAAAATAAGTTTTAATTATCAGAACAATGGTCAATCAATTGGTGGCGTAACTGAATCACTGAATTTGGTGTTTCAAGTTTATTTGCAGTTTGAATCATTTACTTTATTGAAAGAGACTACATGCTTGTCAGAACTTAGGTACACATTTTAAGACTAATTAGTTGTAGTAGGGCCATGTTATTCTGTCTCAAGACCATCTGCTAGGTCAATTGATTAGATGCAACTTTCAATATTTGGCAAGTTTTTTTTTGTAGTTATAGTAGTGCTCCACTGCAAAAGTTGAAGGAGTGTACTTTGCCACAGCTGCATGGTTGGTGGAGCAAAATGCATGTGTTAATTTTATTACAGAACACTCATACAAACACATGGATCATTTATTACAGTACCCACAAAATTTACTAAAACAACATCATCTTTTTCTGAAATTATAGTCTCTGATGAAATTACAATCGATTGCATCATCATTTTAATATTGTTGTAAATAAAATTAATATGTGGAGATGTAATAACATGAATATTGGAAACTTAAATTAGAGCAGATTCTGTATCAGAATTCTCATATGACAAAAGTACTTAACTTCCAAATATTTTACTTCCAGCATCTGACCAAAAATAGATAACTAATAATATTAAAAGGTAAACTAAGTATCAGTAAGTAAAACTTGAGCACAAAGAAGGCTAGTCAAATAACACTTAAACATCTTTTAAATTTGTTATCCTATTTTTATACATAATTGAAACCAAGTTCTTAATTAATAGAAAATAACTATGGCATGGCATTTGTATGCCTATGTAACCTTAGTGATTATTGTTAAACGTTATTATATTTACCTTGTACATATTGTTTGATTTCTTTAGTAAAAAAAAGTAAAAGAAAAATAAACATTTATTACCCTTTTAGGAAGAACTAAACAGACTTCCCTTACACTTATTATATTCTTTGAAACAGACTGAACACTTCTTGACGTTGTTGTGATGTATATTTCAGATAGTTCTGAAGTTCCACATTGCCATTTTCACTAAATTCTCATGTTCTTTCTAAATATTGTAGAACTTATGTCAAAACAAAATAAGCACGGCGTGAAATAAATAATATGAAGAGCACAGACAGATGAAAACACCGGTAATTACACCAAAGAGTACAGCAATAAGTCTAGATTACAATATTATGTACACTAAATTACACTCGCAACTCGCATTTGTTGAGTTGCTGACTTGACATTGACACTGACAAGACATGAACATGACCGTACTTGTTCTGTTTGTTGACATTTTGACGATTTTATTTATAAAGGTGATGACATTTTATCAACGAGTTTATTATGTATGTACTAGCTTTTACCCGCGGCGTCGCTCGCGTCAAAAATAGGATAAAAAGTAGCCTATGTGACATATACCAATACACACAGCGCCATCTATACCAATACTTTTGTTTTCCCTCGGGAATATCAAATTTTTCCGGGATTAAAAGTACCCTATTATTTAATCCGGACTTCTAACTATACATCTGCAAAAATTCAAAGCAATCGGTTTAGTAGTTATGGCGTGAAAGCTGAACAAACAAACAAACTCGGAAAGTCCGATTTATAATATTAGTAAGGATGGGGGAACATTAATAAATAGTGAAATTCAATATTTTTCTGATAAACTAGCATTTTTATATTTGTTATGTAGCAAAAAATAACTATTATTAGTACTGACTGATAGGTTACTATACCCACCCACTGATAGGTTAGAAGTCGGTGCCATAAGCTCATATCATAATGATATAACTGTCCACAAAGTTGTGAATTAGGTACCTATTAAGGTTTTAATGAATAATTTTGTATGGAACTTATGGCACCGACTGCTTACCTATCAGTGGGTGGGTAACCTATCAGTACTAATAACAGATATAAACCGCTGAGGAGTTCCCTCGACTGTCTGTCGGCTCCATCATCAGGTCGACTCCAGACCCTTATCAAATTGTAGTGTTTAAAAATCGTAATTCAAAAACATAATAGACGCATTACTTGCCCATAGAATTTTCGAAAGTTCCCCTCGGTTTCCCTAGGATCCCATCATCATATCCTGACCTCATGGAAATGGGACCATCTCGGGAGTATACCCTTTCAAACAAAAAAAAAAAAAAACAATCAGCCGAACACATAGGCTAGTTTTACAGTCACGCCGCTAGACGCGCCGTTGGACAGCGCGCGTTTGAACAGCGGTGCACCATAAAACGACATTAGTACGGCGCGTTTCGCTGCTGTGAGACAGTCGTGTACAAACAGATACAAAATGAACGGCAATGCGGTTAGAGTACTGGCTATTTACTTTTTATGGAAAAAAAGGCAACAAAAACGTCGAAGAACAGTAGGTGTTGATCCTTATAACGCTACAAGGTTACTGAGAGGCGAACACGTAACATCTTTCTCTGATTTACGAGAAAATAGTTATAAATTTATTTTTTGCGTCCTTATTCTTATAAAAATCATCGGCCGGGTCCCATAAACATCTTCTAATTCGCACTTCGTCAATTACTCGACCCGTATCGATGTGATTCATTTTGTACACAACAGTACCTAACGGCACGTCTCAACGGCGTGAGACTAAAACGCACAATGGCCGTAGAAGCGCACGAGCGGCGCGCGCTTCGACCGCGCCGCGCGAATAGGACGCGTTCAACGAACGGCGCTGCTCAAGCGCGCGAATTTGAAACGCTACTAATACCCCAATACATATCCGAGCGCGCGCGCTCCGACGGCGCTGCCGAAACGCGTGACTGTAAAACCAGCCATAGTACCTACCTCCTCCTTTTTTTGAAGTCGGTAATAATAAATCATCCGCTTCATTAGTTTTTTTTTTATGTTTATGTATTTATAAACAAATCAAATGTCCGCCAGCATTTGTATGAATAAAAGTTTATTGATGTATTGACAACAAATTAAAACTAAAATTACATAAATCAAATAAGTAGTTCTTTATAATATGTACCTATTGATGTTTTTTTGTAGTTCGATCGAGATTTTATCACCAAACCCGAAAATGTTGAATATCTATCTCTCAGAAACTAGCCACTTTCGGACCAGAGCCACCAGGGCTAATTTTGTAGGAAATTATTAATTAGTAGTATTATCACCTCCCGAGAGGAATAAGTCGAGCTACAAATCACCCTGTATAAATAGGTAGTCCAGTGGGACAAAAAAATAAAACACCTGTAATTTAAAAATTAATTTTACTAGCAAAAAATATATTAAAACACACTTAAAATACATATTTAGTAAAAAGCATTATACTTATAACTCAAAGTGAATATGTATGCATTTAGCACACATATTATTATCTATCACAGAATAAATCATCTTGAAATGATCCCATTTTACTATAAAATATATTAGGTACTAATAGTCCTTATAGCTATTACATTATCAGTACAAAATAATGAAAAAAGAGAATTTGTTACTTAATCGTAAAGAAAGAACTATATCTATCCATACACATTATGTCAAAAACACACATTCAGGGCCAATTTCACTGTACCCTGATGAATGTAACTAGTAGGTATTTCATAGAAATTATAATTTATGTTCCAAATTCAACTTGTTTATAGTGGCTATCCAGAGCCTGTGAAATCAGCCATAAGTCTTAACTCGTCGAGTACCGGTTTTATAGACACAATTAAAGAACAATAGGTCGCGGTCACCGGTGACCGCTTGGTGTTAGACAGATTAATATACAATTAATTACATTCTGTCAGTCAAACAATCCTCATATTTTTCTGTTACAAACAATATTGTACCATATATGATCTTACAAAATATCCTTAATTTTTCAATTTGATTGGAGTCAATAATACTGTCGAATTGGTCTATTGCAATTAAGTGTTTAGTCAATTTAAAATTCAGCATCCAGTGTGAATACATTGTCCATCTGGTTGGCCATAACTCCCCACTTTTGGTACTCACTTACTTTCTTCTCAAAGAAGTTGGTCTTACCTTCTAGTGAAATCAGATTCATGAAGTCAAATGGATTCTTTGTGTTGTAGTGCTGTGAACAAAATACAAACAACCATGAAAATGAATTCGTAAAATTAAAACACTGATACAGAGTGACCTGAATTCACGAAATAAATAACTAGATACCAATAATTATATTATTAATCAGAAATTATCATGACCTGACTGACCTCTCGCTCGCGTCAGTTTCAAGTGAATAGAATTAAACTTAATATTTAAATAATTTACCTTCTCCCCGATAAGTTCCAAAAGTAGTCTGTCAGCAACAAATTCAATGTAATCTGACATAAGTTCGCAGTTCATTCCTAGTAGCCTAACGGGCAGTGCGTCTGTCAGGAATTCCTGTTCAATTACTACAGCATCCTTAATGATCTGCAGTACACGTTCCTTGCTTGGCTTCTGAACCACATGGCGGTACATTAGACACGCGAAATCTGTATGTAAACCCTGTAGAAACAAACACCAATTTATTATTATACAAACTACAGCTAATATTATGATGAAACTACATTATTCCAGTTATAACCAGTTTATAAAAACACATAACAATATTGAGTATTAGAATTTTTAATCAGTTATCACTTATCAATGATTTAATGGTTATTGTTCAATCTAAACTTGTAGATTACAAGGTATGCGTGATTACAGTAACATACTGATAACAAATTTATGAAAGTTCCTCACTGATAAAAATCAATATTATGCTATCAATTAATGAGAGTAGGTGTTAGGATTAGTGTGCAATTATTTAGAATATTGCAATCTGTAAATGTATGGAAAACAAGAACAATATACAAACCTCATCTCTAGATATCAGTTCATTACTGAATGTTAAGCCAGGCATAAGACCACGCTTTTTCATCCAGAAAATAGAGGCAAAGCTGCCTGAGAAGAAGATTCCTTCGACAGCAGCAAATGCAATAATGCGCTCTGCAAATGTTGCAGACTGGCTAGCAATCCATTGCAGGGCCCAGTCAGCCTTCTTCTTCACACAAGGGAGAGTCTCAATAGCATTAAACAGGAAGTCCCTGTACAGGAAACAGGAATAAGATTACAATACTCAGAATACAAAACAATGGTAGTTTTGTAAAAATTGCATGACTCATAATGGTCTAGCAACAATTTCGTAACAATGATAGGCCATATAGCCATGAATAAATTACCTCTCCTTTGGGTCCCTAATATATGTGTCAATAAGAAGAGAGTACATCTCAGAGTGTACATTCTCCATGGCTATCTGGAAACCATAGAAGCATCTAGCTTCAGTAACTTGAACTTCTTGAGAGAAACGTTCAACCAAGTTTTCATTGACAATCCCATCAGAAGCAGCAAAGAAAGCCAGCACATGCTTGATAAAGTGTCTCTCACTGTCCTTTAAAGTCTCCCAGTCTGATAAATCCTGAACAAAGAGTTGCAAAATGAGTCAAAGGTAAATCTTAGTTAAGTGTACATTGTTGATTGTTTACAGTTGGCTTTAGTCATAAAAACTTTTTGGTTACAGTTAACTAAGTAGTTAACCCACAAAACTACGTAAGTATGTTGCAACAATTGCGTAATTTCGTATTGAAAGAAAATATTTAATAAAAACTAAAGCATTTTGAAAAAGTAGAACAATAGGTGGGTGCCATAAAACCGTCTAAATTAACTAACAGATGCGCGATTCTATTACTTCGAAGTGATGTTATGGAAAATAACACGATAAGCATCACGCCCTAATTTTGGAACTTTCCGTTATTTGCGGGGGAGCTCAACCGTGTCCGTGACCCCATAAGGATGCTCAATGATAATTGCTACTTTTTAAACTTTTTTTTTTAAGTATTAGCAAAACATATTACTAAATCAGCTGTAATCAATACTTAAATCAGTATAAGAAAAAAACTATTTTACACAAATGTTACCTTGGATAGGTCCACTTCCTCAACAGTCCAGAAGGAAGCCTCGGCCTTCTTGTACATCTCCCAAATATCAGGATACTGAATAGGGAATATGACAAAACGGCGAGGGTTGTCTCTTAGTAGTGGTTCCTTTTGTGGGTCAAACTCGACCACTTCAGTGGTCTTTCCCTCGACCTCCATGCTTTCGCCACTCATATTTTCATTGCGTTCAGCCAAAACGTTGTTTTTAACAGGGCTCTGCAAAAATAATATAGTTCAATTCTTGTCCTGACAGTCATGCTGTCAAAATAAGTACCCATTTATGTGTCTAGAATTACTAACCTTTAAATGCACATTGTTGAACTCGTTGTGCAAATTCTCTTTATCAACAATTGGGGCCATTGTGTTTTAGTTTAAAGTAACAACACAAAATAATTTAACTTTAATTTATGATCGAACACGATCTCACTTCGCCACTGCTTTTGCCGCTTCTGAGGCAATCGAGGCGAGCGCTCGCTATTTTGGTCATGAGTTTCCCTCCAATTTGCTTTGTAAACATCTGTTGCGTTCCGAAGTCTACTATTGAAGTTACAAGATAGAACCAAATGTAAGCTTTCTGGTATAGATTTCAACAGCTAGAAGTTAAAAAGCACGTTTTGTAAGTATAATAAATACTAAATCGATGTGCAAAATATATATTTTCGACATAATTACATAATTTGTAAAATAAAAGAATTATTTTTTTGCATTATATTGAACTTCAGACTATAGATTCGGACCAAACATATGATTGTGGGTTCATTGGCCACTCACAAAACAGCAACATAAAAGAGCGGTAATAATTAGTATTTTTGTTTTAATTTATCTGCTGGAAATAAAGAAATATTACATAGATCATCAATTTATGTGGATCCATTTTGTGAAACTTTTGGGGGGGTTCATATTAATTATAAAAAAAAATTAAGAGGAAAAATAATCGAAAAGCGATGGAAAGTAGATTTCCCGCCAATTAACTTTATTCTATTGGATTTCGCGTGAGCCAATCAAATAGCAGAAACCATAGACTGTAAACTTCCAAAGTGCAAGAAATGATGAAATCAGAAATGGAAGTAGTGTAAGTTTATTAGTAATAGTCACATTAGTTACGGTAATATTATGAAATTAATTTTATCGTATTATCGAGTTATTGATGCTCACGAATCTTCTGAAAATACCAAACAATTAAGAAAAACTTACTTCCCTGTTTTAGGTGTATGATTGAAGTTAGTCCGCGTAATTTGAAGTTGCTTGTTTTTTGCAATTTCATTTTTCAGCTCTGAGCTCGATATCGATTAGACGGATCGGTTGTTTAGTATAATGATAAAATATATTTGCGGTATTTCCGCAATTTAGAAAAGGTGTTCAATTTACCATTTAAGTAAAAACTTAATGTGTAATGGTAAATGCACAAATAGATAGTATTAAAGGTAGATAAATAACTAAAATGGATGCTGCGATCATTCGACACATAATGCATCTTGACGTGGCCAAGGCGTGGTGCGTTCAGGTTTCTGTAAACAATATAATAGTACCGACAGAGAAATGTTGTTGGTTGCCTTTGAGTCTAGTTCCTTTATATGCCAATCTTTGATATCAATCGATAAATAAAGTGTATTTTTCCATATCGTAATAGCATAGTATAAAGAACACAGTAGGTTATCTAAGGCCGCCCGCCGAGTTATTAGCCTACTCTTGCGTTGATCCCCAGGGTTGTCACTTTTACTTTTAGTTAATATTTTCGAACAAGCAGCACTTGATCTAAATTTATGAAATGAAAGCATATTATGATTGAATATTTTATCAATTTATACATTTAGTAAAAATTAAAAGCTTATAAAAAGATTATTAACTTCTTAAAATAAACTTTAGCTCTATACATAGTATTCAGAAAGTAAATTTGGGAATACATTTATATGGAAAAATGCGACTCGGCTACGCTCTTAACAAATCAGATAAACTGTGAAATAAACAATACAATACCACATTTTCTTATAATATTTAAGTATAGTAGGTAATTACATTTCTGGTTGAGTAGGAACTATGAAGAATGGTAAGAGTAAGAATAAGTAAGTAGGTATCTCATCATCAAGTAGGTAGGTACCTACAAATTATATTATGCTAGAAAAAGTGACTAGCTTACCTTTCCTGTTCAATAGGTACCTAATCTGAACAGAGACAGTTCTGGAATCGATTAATTATTAAGACACCCAAACACACAGCAATACGTTCTTCTACGATTATCAGACATTTTTTATTTCATTGAACAGTGCCGAAAAGCCGTGAAGCGCGCGCGAACCTCGTACCAGTCTTGTGAAACTTAGAACAAACATTATTTTGTATGGAGTCCGTAACATTCTGTGTACCAACATTCAGAAAAACGTTGAGGTACCAACACAACAAAACGAACTTGGTACTTAGTACTTCGGATAATTGACACAACATGGCTGCCGTCTTTGTGCAAATTTTTGTGTTGTGATTATTCTGTTTGTTTTTTCCTTTTTCCTTGTGATTTCGGAATTTAACCTAATAGAATAATTTATTTTATTGTGTGTTTAACGTTGAGTCGAGCAACTGTTCCTCCGTTTCATCTTCACGTGGTTTTATTGAGACATTGACTCTGTTAGTGTAAGTGATTCTTGTGAGATATTTGACTCTTTTATATTAATTTGTTATTATTACCTATTACCGAGACAGTGACTCTAAGTTTGTGTTTGTGAATACCTTGTACATCATCATGGGCAAAGGTCACAGACGTTGTGAAATTTGCCATACGAACGAATCTTGGCCTACTGCTAACAAATTACATTTTTCCCATTTTCATCTGGATCCAAATCGGTGTGTACCTACTTACTACCCATTGTTAATGGAAATGTGAATTAATAATTCAATTCATCGCTTATACGATACTTTCGAACCGTCAATTAAGATTAGCTGAACTCAAATAAAGTTTTAAAACATGAAAGGACCATGAGCACCTTGGTATGCAAATTGAATGTTCATCCGACAGAAATGAAATTTTTAGTATATTACGAGTTTATAATGTATGGAGTTGTTGAGAAAATCACACTTTAAATGTTTGGAATTTAGGTTATCAATCACTTAATTTCGTTAACTTCGTTAATGTTACAATCATCACTGTAGTACTTGAATTGATACATCAAACAAAACATCAAATCTTTTACCCACTGTAAAGGTACACAGAGATGTACGGTCGCAAGCAGGTTAACCTATTCTTTACTGTCAAATTTATTACATTTCTAACTTATTGTATTGATATTGTCGAAAATCCCATTAATGACTGTATAATGACTCTACAATTATAAAAAGAACTAACCTTTTGCGAGTTATGGTACTACCTGCTTATAAGGAGAACAATTTTATTTGTTTTTTAAATATAAGTTTAAGCCTCTGTATACTTCTGTATTAAAACATATGTAGGCAATAATCAGTTTTTGGTTTTTACAGTTTAATACGGTCACCAATTACAGATTAACCCACATTTTTTAATAATAAAGTTCTAACTTAAGACTAAAAGAAATAATGTGCATTAATATTCGAACACCGCACACAACTATAGATGTTGCTAATGCTGGGGTAAAATTTCTTTAAGCGAGCGAGTGAGGTTTTTGTGTTACATGTAAATAATGTTTATTGGCATCACCGTGAACACAGAAGTGAAATTTAAATGCATGTCCTTATTGGAATAAAATTCTTTAAATGCTTGTTATCCACCTGTAAGACCGTTTTGTAAATAAATATAAAGTAGTAAGAGTTTGATACAAATTTTTATGTTTATATATTTTGCTATTACATAGTTTGGTAGTTATTAAGAGTAAACATTAATTTTTTGTGTTTCAGTTGCCGAGACTGACTAAAAGCAGTTGGAAATGAAGAATTGGTTCATCTACTAATAGAAAAATTGCATGAGAACCGAAGTGTTTGTGCTAACCACTTTAGAAAACAGGATTACAACAAAAAAGGCAATCGTCTGAAAAGAAATGCAATCCCAACTTTAAATTTGACGGCCTTACTTCTCACTGATGTACAATTGGCAGAATTTCCACAGCATGTGTTTAAATATTCAGGATCAAAAGGTAAATTGAATAAATAAATTCTACAGTTTATTTCTACCATAAACCAGTTGATCTGGCTAGCACACATCAATTAATATTATATTATGTCAATCTTCTGTTTTGTGGGAATTTTCTGTTTTATAACAATCCAAATCTTCCCTTAAGTGTTATGAATATTTCAAGTCCAACATTGGCTTAATCTTTTTCGAAGTCGAGAACAGTAATTCATTTGTATACTTACATCACCGGAAAATACCAAATTCCGTAAGTTTATAAATTTTTTAGGAAAGGACAGATTTGCGAAACAAATGTATGAAGTCTGGGTCTACCCCTCAATATCAACATGTCAAATGTCATCAGATAGGATTATTAAAATTAAACATTAGTTACTAATATACCTATGGTAAAATGTCTGTGGTTTCAGAGGTAAGTACAACATCCTAAAGTCTAAATTAAACATTAGTTACTAATATACCTATGGTAAAATGTCTGTGGTTTCAGAGGTAAGTACAACATCCTAAAGTCTAAATTAAACATTAGTTACTAATATACCTATGGTAAAATGTCTGTGGTTTCAGAGGTAAGTACAACATCCTAAAGTCTAAATTAAACATTAGTTACTAATATACCTATGGTAAAATGTCTGTGGTTTCAGAGGTAAGTACAACATCCTAAAGTCTAAATTAAACATTAGTTACTAATATACCTATGGTAAAATGTCTGTGGTTTCAGAGGTACAACATCCTAAAGTCTAAGTATTCTTTATGATTCAAAAGTCAATATCTTTATTGTTTTTCCACATTCTAAATAAAGGTATTACATTAAATTATGGACCCCATTGAGCACAGCACGAGCTAGGATGCATGCATGCATTAATATTCAAACAATTTATCTCTTACTAAATATAACTTTGACAATTTAAATTATTATTCTAATCTTAGAATTACTATTGGATTAATCTCAACTGCATACTTCTAACTTACCTACTTACATCTATTAACTGTTGTACATTAATGAACTTAGCAGATGCTCTAATATTCTTTATTTAAATATCAATCAACTCATTATGTAATATGTATTTATTTCATTATAATATTTTTTTTCTATTCTTATTTACTTACATAAATTTATGTTTTTATTGAATGTAAAATATTATTATGTTTTATGTAAAATACGTGACTAATGTTTTAAAAGAATTTAAACAAATGAAATGGACATTAAAATAAAAATTAGGCATCTACTCTATTTTTCAACCAGACTTTGGAGAAGATTATTTAATTATGTTCGTAG